GCATTGAAGTGACCCTACATTGCAAGCTCTTGCCACTAAAGCGTGGGCAAGTCAGCCGATCGAACGTCGCTGCAGCCTCTCTCCGAGTGATACAGTTATATGTGGCTATGCGGCTGTTCCACGAAGCCACAGGCAGCCACAGACAAGACACGAGAGCGGGTGGTCTGTCTTCACGTCACAGGTGTTTCTGGTCCTGAACGCCTTCCGGTGTCAAAGCGTGTGTCTATAGCGGTGTTGGTACACGTGAGGCATTTGCACCTCCAAAAATATCAGAACAGCAATGACAGTATGAAAGCCCCGGACCTGCACAATCAACAAGCATAGCAAATCATGAAAGACAAAGTGCTGCCCTTAGTTTTCGGCGGCAGGTGGGTCAATGTCGAGCGCGAAGCGACATTGGTAGCTGGCCTGGTTGATGCTCAGGCGCTGCACATGTTCTCCACAGTATGTGTGCCGAGTGGTCCTGCACTAAGCCCTCGACCCTGTAAAGCTCAACCCTGTCTGCCACTGAACTCTCAACCCTGCACCTTGCACAGATCAGGGACTGCCACGGGGATATCCTTCAGAATCAAGAAATTGTGTCCGGCCTTTTTTTTTCAGTGGTTTGAAAATCCCTCTCACCGTGATGCAGATAATCACAGAAACTACGTGCTTTTCGTTCTGGGTTCCTTGTGACTTCGTCGGCGATGGTCATTGCCGTGTCCTTGGTCAGAAGTTAATTTCGTGGTCGAGCCCAGGCCACGGCCAGGACAAACTATGCAACTGCCAACTAGCTATTGGCAATTTGAGGTCGCCAAAATTGGAGACCGTATTTCCTTCTAGTCCCTTATATACCTCGAAACCGAAAACTGCCCCGGTACTATGTGTTCTGAATATGGTTGGCGCCAGCAAGAGAGTCATTGATAACATCCCAGACCAGAAGAGGGGACGCAAATGGTTTCTAACAACATGTTTCTGGTTTTCCGGATAAACGCTACAGAAAATCACACCAGACACCCTTTTCAAGTTCGAGTGATGCATGGCCCCCCCAATCTTCGTTATTCTGTTCGGCTGCGATCTGAAAGCTCTTGATTTAAACGATGGGACAAGATCCCGCAACTCAAGCCTATAGGGCTTTGGGTTTAGGGTTTAGGGGTTTTGGGGCTTAGAATGGTATTTGGGACTTAGGGTTTATCAACACCCCTACACCGAAAAGAATTGTTCGTGCCGAAGCCTTTAAGCAGGCCCCAGATCCTAAACCACTGTAAACCCGAAACCCCAAACTCACAAAACCCTAAACCCTAAAGCCCTAGGCCCTAAACCCAAAAAATCGCTTGTATCGTCAGGCAGCTCGCATCACCATGCGAGATGTTTCGGCGGTGGTCAATTACTACCAGGACAAGGCCCGGCGAGGAAGCAGTCACTACGGTTGATAGAAGTCCTGCATTACCTTAAGGACCCTAAACCCTAAACCCTAAACGGTTTAGGGTTTAGGGTTTCCAGGACCCTAAACTATGCGAGTTTTGGTATATTCCTTATTATGTGTAATGCAGGGTTTATATCATCAACCGTATCTTCGAATTTCGAATGCTACAAATTGTTCAGCACAGTGTTACACGGTGACCCTGCTTGGTGTCTTAGCCTGAGTTCTTCGTATTGGTTGAATACGATCAAAGTGTCAAGCCGGATCCCTAAAACCGTCGCAAACCCCCCGCCGTGACCGAACCCGAAACCCTAGCACCATGGCCATGACGCCATGAACCTCTTCGGCTGATCTGAATCTCCACTTTGACCCACCATAACCTACCATTTTGAGGACATTTTACCGGGAAGCCGTGCGAAGGAGCCGTAAAGAGGTAGTAGGGTTTGTAGCAGGGTGCCGGGACAGCCTAAAAGAACGCTCATCTGCGTTTGCAAGTGTTGCAAGCTTTCTTATCTCGACCCTCAACTATAATCCCGTGACTCGAAACCGCAATCCGCAAGCATAAAACCGGATAACCCTAAACCCCAAAACCCTACACTCAGAAAACTTCAAACCCTACCACCAAGCCCCGAAACCCTGAACCCCAAAAACAAACAGTGAACCCAAAAACTCCGAATCCAGAAAGCTCGGACACCATGCCCACCCCTTGGCTAAACTCCGCGAGGTGCCCAAAGACCATCTTTCTCTGAATGCCGCCAGCCGAGAAGAAAAGCTTTGGGTTTAGAGTCTTCTCGAAGTGCATCAGCGTTCAGAACCATTTTGTAGGTTTTTTCGGGCGTGTCTTTGGGCCTCAGTTGGTTTATGGCTGTTGTTGGTTTAAGTTGCGATTCGTGGTGCTTGGGAAGCGGACTGGGGGGCACTGGAAAACTGGAATGGGTGATTTTCCTAAACCCTAAACCGGTTTTGCAGGTTTTGGAGGGCTTGCTTTTCGGGTTTTGGGGTTCTACTTGAAGAAGGGCCACCTACTATGGGGGCCTAAATAATTACCTATACTCTGTTGGGGGTTCCGTATTATAATTATCGTATAATGGAACCCAAAACCTTATTCTAATTATTAAGGTCTCTTGATTATTTCTTTTGCCTCCTTTCCAAAGGCTTCCCGCGAAAGCAACTTCGGCCAGAGTTAATCGGCAAGCAGGCTGGCCGCCCTACCAGGAAACGTCCGTCAGCAGAACACCTACTACCTACCGTCTCAAAATCAAAGCTCGCGACAATGCCCGTCATCGACACCATTGCTCACCACTCGGACCCTGAGTGGAAAATGGCTTGGATGAAGCTTTCGCGGTCACTGGTGCGAACCGCCTGGCTGCTGACGAGGAGGTGGCGATGGCCTTGCTGGAGTTTGCGCGTGTGTTCAGCGAGAGTTCCCGAAAAGGCTTGTGTGTCTGCAGTGTCTGAGCATTTGCAGTCGATTAAGTTAGATGTTCTTCCACTGGGGCTGGGCCCGATTTAGCTTTCGTAAGAGTCTTCGCACGCTCTTCGTACCTCGCGATAAACATATGCATTGCTATTCCCGGTATCATGGCATGTACAAACACTGCAAGCACACGCCCGATAGCTTTAACGGCGTTCAACAGACTCTACCGCGTTTGACGGTGGAGGGCATGTAACGAAATCCCAGTTGCCTTCCAATCTCACCCGACATCATCACTCCTAAACCCCTTCCCCTACACGCCTAAACCTAAATAAGTCCTACAACCCTAAGCCCTAAACCGAAAGCCTCCTAAGTTATTATCAACCTCAGGCCCCACAGCTCCCCTCAATTCCAGGTTTTGCAGGAAGCTCTCGACCGTCAAGTCATCGTCGCGAAGGAGGCGCTTCAGGAGAGGGGCCAGGCACTGCTTGTTGGAGCTTCTGTCTCTGAATTTCGGGGTTTCCGCAAATAGGAGACCCTAATATAGTACCCTAAATAGTAGTATCCATATAATATAGGGCTCAGAATTACATACATTGCTCCTTAGGCTTCTGTATTATGATATACTCCACAGCCCCTTTTCTTTTCATCCAGGGGGCCATATGATTCGGGATTTTGGGGGATGTGCTCGGGGTTGGGGTTCGTGTTGTAATTAGGCTGCGGCCCAGGGGTTCTGGATCAGGCTAATTCCCCAGGGATCTAAGGACTCCTATATTAAGGCTTTCGGGCCCAAAGACCATACTATATCTATATCTATATCTATATCTATATATATATATATATATATATATATATATAAGGCTTTGGGGCTAGATGGATCCCTAGAGGTATTGGCCCCGCAGGTCGAGGTAGAATTAACCTTGTTGAGAGCCTTTGGCTCGTAAACTGCTGGACAGGGACTGGATAGGATACTTTTCCCGTGTACGTGTCTTAACAGCCGAGGCCCAACAATCTTAAAAGCTGAGGCCCAACAATGTATGCAGGCGTATCAGCAGAATCTCGAACCTTGGAACGTTTGACACATGTAAATCCTGTACCCCTGGTGCTCCACCCTGATCCCCAGGCCTTGGCCCCTAAACCATATATGGGTGGTTGTCAAAATTATGGTCCCTTTTTGGGTCCTTGTTATAATACGGTACCTAATATATAGGGTTCCCCAAAAGGGGCCATAATTTTGACAGGTATATACCCTTAATAGAGCTATTATATAGCCATTATATAGCCCATTTTTGGGCAGGGGTCCCCATTAAGGGTCCCTCCTTTTCCCCTTTGAATTTTGACAACTACCCATATGTTATATGCTTGGGCCTCCCAAGTTGAGACTTCGAGTCACAGCAGCCGGAAAATCAGCTTGCTTTAGACGCTGCCCCCACCCTGTAATAGTGACTATAAGGATTATAGTAGGGCCCAGTTTTTTTTCCTATTATACCGCCATTACAGGGTGGGGGCAGCTTCTAAAGTTTGCTTCTCTAAATTTCTATAGTGAGCTTGGGAGACGTGCATGAAGCACCTCTCTATGCTTGGGGGATCATGGGATTTAGTCAAGTAGTGTCACAAGTGTCCTAGCTTGGGTTTCAAGCATTTATAATTACAGCTACCTTAGTTACAACCGTGGTTACCAAGTCCCACGATCCTTCAAGTCCCTCGTTGCAATCGCCGCCACCGTGGAATATGGCAGCCGTCAGCCGTTGGGCTCAGATTCCATGACAGAACCTAAGACCCAAACCCTAAACCCTAAACCGGCTTGGGACACAGATGGTTCGCATTGGGTTGTCGTTTGCTTCGAGCTATATGTGTTCTCATGTTGAAAAGGTGAATGCTGAGAAAGATAAGAACAGAAACCATGAAAGTTCCACTTGCAGACAAACCAATACAAGGGCTCGAGTAGTCAGCAACGTTGCACCCTTGTGCCCTCTGTAATACAGTTGAATACTAGAATATACCCGCAGCGCTGCTGTTCTATATTGTTGCTGTTCTCTGTTATGGATCACTTTCCAGGGATCTCAAACATACATGTTTTGCCTACCTTCTAAGCGGAGAGAGCCCCAAGCCTTAAGCCACCCTTAGCCCTAAACCCTTCACCCTAAACTTTGACACAGAGCCTCTACTACGCGCTCTAAAGCCATGGCGAGCAGAATTTTGAAAGTGCCGTCGCCCTACGGCCGGGACTATCGACAGGTGCATTCAGGGCATAGTGTTTCCAGTCGTGGGCCGGTTGCAAGGCAGGCAATGGGGTAGGATACAGGGTTTTGGGGTTCAGGGTTAAAGGCCCTAAATCCGGTCCGAAACCCTAATCGGATTAGGGTTTAGGAGTTTAGGGTTTTGGATTTTCGTCAGGGTTATATGGTTGTTTACGGTCGTTGGCACAAACTCAAAAGTCCTGCACAAAGCCCTCCAAAGGCCCTTAATTAAGGAATATGCATTAGGCCAGATTCGGGTTCCCGTTGTAATTTAAGGTATAGTCCTTAATTAAGGGGTTTTGGAGTCTCTGGGGCGAGCCTGGGCCAAAATCAGCAAGAGCAGCTCTTGTTTGGGGGTATGAGAGAGCAGAAGCCTCTGGGCAGTTCTCTACATTAGTTTTCCGCTTAGGGCCTAGGGTCCTTTTTAAGAGGGTGCCGCGACCTGAAATTTAGAGAGAACTACCTACATGGCATAGGGTGATACGAAACTCTGTGGGGGTCCCCAAGCCGCTTGTCACAACCCCTGAAACCTTAAACAGTTAAGCATCATCCACAACGCCCCTTTGAGCCCGAAGCTCTCAAATGGAGGCCTTCCGGATTGAGTTTTAGGGTTGTCGGGGTTCAGACCTCGTGTTGTTGAGTTCAAGGCTTAGGGTGGTGCGGAGAAGGTGTAAGCAAGTGTCATAACAAGGGGCAGAACAAGTGGAATCATCCTGATGGGGTTCTAGGGCATGGAACCCAATAGATACCAGCTGAACTAGAGCCTTAACACCCTATAATCGGTTTCCAGAAAAGACCCATACATAAAAATTGTCGGGTGATATTCCTACTTCATTGCTTTGTTTATAAAGGGGCTTATGGGATATCACAGTCTTCATGTTTTTGTTTAGGTGCCTGTTTGTGTCCCTATATGATATTTCCAGTGGTTAACTTTCGTTGGAATTTGACAGTAACCCAACAAATCTATAGCCCCAAAACTATAAGCCTAAAGGTGAGCCTTCCAAGCGCAAGGTTCCTGGACAGGCTGGATATGTCTCAGTCTCAGACCCTACTTGGAGCTTCATGGGTAGTTATATGTGGGGTTATAAGTCCTTTAATATAGGTTATAAGTATAGTTACCCTACTTATAACCCCACTTATAACTACCCATTAACCTCCAAGTAAACTCCAAGACACACAAACTCCAAAGACACAAAGAAAGCTAACCCGAAGGTCCAAATCCTCACCATATTTCATATGACCCACCAAAATGCTTTCTAAGCCCTAACACAACCATACGACGTGCTTACAAAGCGAGGATACATGCAGTAATGACACCTTCATAGCTCAATACCAGCTTTGCGACCTTCACAAAACCGTATAAACCCATCGGCACCCTGTCAAGGCAGTCTCCTAGGAAGTGCCAAGAATATGAAACCCTGACGTGGCTAGAAATAAACATGGTTGTAATCGGGCGGTTCGGTCGATATCGATACGCATGCGGTATTTAGCGGTATATGTATGGCCAGTATTGGGGGGTTTCGGTTCGGCTCGGTAGCGATACGCGTCAATACCGAATACCCACCAGACCAGCCACCAGCCAGCCAGCAGCCACCACTCCTGACCAGTTTCAGTCAGCCAGCACCCTCCAGCCACCACCGCCAGCCACCGCCAGCGGCCTGGACGAGTGGCTGGTGGTGGCTGGCTGGTGGGGTGGCAGGTGGCTGGAGGCAGTGGCTGGGGCCAGCCACCCTCCAACCACCAACCACCACTAGACACCACCAGCCACCACCAGCGCCCTCCAGCCTTTAGCCACCATCCAGCCCTCCAGCCACCAACCCACCAGCCGGAAGGCTGGTGTTTGGAGGTGTGTGGAGTGGCTGGCTGCCCTCAGGGCTGGTTGGTGTCGGTGGTGTGGCTGTTGCGATATTCTGCGGTACGGACCGGTTCGATCGGTTCAGTACATGCCCACAGAATCAGCGATACAAACGGTTCGGTTAGCGATGCTCTGCGGTATGGGATGCAAGTAGTGTTGAAACAGCCATGTAATAAAGCTCCCGGAGACTGAACTTTAAGCCCTTAATTAAACTTTAAACCCTAAACCCTAATTAAACTCTAAACCATAAACCCTAAACCCTAATCAGACTCTAATTCCTAATTAAACTCTAAACCCTAAACCCTAATCAAACTCTAAACCCTAATTAAACTTTAAAACTCTGAACCCTAAACTCTAAACACACATGGAAGGTCGGCTTCCGGAGCTCCCAGCTCTACGACCCAGAGGAACGCCCGCAGCAGCCATTCTTCAGCAACAGCGACGAGATCGAACAGGGACCGGGGTCCCTTTAAAGGGTCCGTCAAGGGATCTATAAGGGTTCCTTTAAAGGCTCCATTAAGGGATCTATAAGGGTTCCTGGACCGGGTGTACCCTAAACCCCATAAACCCGAAACACAAGGCCCAAAACCGTGGTTTAGGGCTTGTAGGGTTTAGGATTTGAGATTGAACTGGAGCCCCAAAATTAACCTCTTGGTTTAAGGCATATATACCTTAAGTCATGTTGGAGTTCCTTTCATAATGTAAGCTACCTTCCTTAGGGTGTCGGGGAAAATATATCTTCAATCATACTGAGGTACCCGCTTATAGCCTATATATATATATATATTTCATTGGTTCAGGGGCTTTTGGAGTCTCTGAGGAGCAGAGGTTCTCGGGCTTCGGCGCTTCTGTACCCTTTTTTTTGGGGGGTTCCTTCTGGGCCGTCCGCGGGGAAAGGATCATTCACTTTGGGTTTGGGGTGTTGCTTGGAGGGTCGGGGAACTTAGTCAGTAGGTAGCAAGTCGACTTATAGGTACCCCTAAAAAGGACCTTAATTAGGGTTAGGATACGTATAAGTGTATAAAATGACTGGTTACTAAGTCCCCCGACCCTCCAAGTGGGGTGTTGGGCTTCCGGGCTCCGGATTTTTAGTTCAAGGGTTCCGAGGTTTGCGTCCAGATTCAGGGGCGTTGGCTTTAGGGTTAAGGCTTTAGCGTTTCAGGTGTAGGCTTTAGGGCTTATAGGGTTTAGGATTCGATTTTTGCGCGGTGTTTAGGAGTTGGCTTTCAGTATTTCTGGGCTGGCATTCATGGGTTGGGTTCAAGTTGTCAAGGGCGTGTAGGATCAATACCACTCCCAGAGAGCCCAGTACATACGGTAAAATCCTCCATTGAGGGGTATTAGTCTCTCTGGGCAACTCATGTAGATTTTGGATCATGCGGAATTTTCCGGCAAAGCATGCCACTGAGGCCTAGATTTCTCGACCTATAACCTAGAAGCCTTAAAGCCTTAAGACCTAGTCGGCTCCACCCAGCGCCGCTGTGCACCACATTTCCCAGGGTTTGAGTACATAGCGTTTCCCTGGAAAGAACTAGTTTTAAAGCTTGTCGTTTTAGGCCTGAGGTTATGGGTTTATAGTTCAGTGTTGATTCGAACCCTGAAACCACGAAGCTACATACCTCCCCCAAACGAAAAACGCTAAGCACTGAATCAACCCCAGGGCACCTGAGTTCTCCCATCGGCAGGACGGGAGGCAGCAGCCCAGTTCCAACGCACCCCATGGCTTACACCACCGCATCCAGAAGGCTAGCCTGAGCTTCAGGGTGCCGTTGAGTTTCTGCCTGTATTGAGCTTAGGGTTTAAAGTTACTGTAGTCTCCATTGTAGTTAATTTTTTGATGATTTAACCCATTTTGAGTTTTGTATTTAGGGCCCTATAAGGCAACCAAACCGAGGAACTATAGTCATTATAGTTATGTATAGGTATGGTTTGCACTTGTCAGGGTGGTGCTGGTCAGGATTTTCGGGGCTTGTGGGGGGATCAAGGGCTTACAGGGGTTGCTGATTTGTGGGTAGTTATCAAAATTAGGTCCCGATTTGGGTCCTTATTAAGTACGGCACCAAATATGTCGGGGACCCAAAAACGGACCCTAATTTTGACAACCATGCATGTCTATGTCGTGCCCGGGTCAGCGTGCAAGAATGCCGCCCAACCTTAGACTAGGATTTGCGGGCATGTCTTTTTTACCCTAAAACCTCAACTATAAGCCCTAGTTCCTCGAATAGCGGCGGATTTGCTATTGGTGCAGGAGGTCTACAGGATAAAGGAACCATATCATGTACCCTAGATCCTTATTATTATGGTAACTAAACTAAATTCCTCAACAAGAACTCAAAGCCTTTCTGCCAAAGCCCGGCGCCCCTTTAGGGTTTAGGCCCATAGCTTTCCGCTGCCCGAGGGTTCAGCTCTAAGCCTCGAGCACCCAGGGCCCTGAATCTGTCGAGGTTAGGGTTAATATGGTTTTAGGGTTTATAGGGTTTAAGGGTTTAGGGGTTTAGGGATTAAGGGGTTTAGGGGTTTAGGGTTTTACGGCTTTAGAGTGAGGGTTTTGGGGGTTTAAGGCTTTCGGGATTTAGGGTTTCGGGATATAGGTTCGGGGATGTTTGACTTGACGGTTGTGAGGGTTCAGGGTTTGAGGGCCCAGGGTTTTCCGATTCAGGTTTTAGGTTTTGTAGTGTCTAGGATTCTGAGTCACGTTGTTGTTTGGCTTCGCCGTTCTACAGTTTGCCGAAACCCAACACCATCAGGATCTAAGCCTGACCTGATTCTGATATAATCCTCGACCGGCTCGAAGGCACGTATGCTTCGCCCTAGAGGATCCCGTAGGCACAGCTTAAAACACTTCAAGGATCTGGCCCAATGGAAGCAAGGCAACCGAGGCCCCTAAACCCCTAAACCCCTAAATCCCTAAACCCCTAAATCCCTAAACCCCTAAATCCCTAATCCCTAAACCCCTAAACCCTAAACCCTTAAACCCTGTAAACACCTCCTAACCCCTAAAACCCTAAACCCTATAAACCCCTAAACCCCTAAACCAACCAACGCCTCTTCAACCTCGGGCCCCCCCGGACCTATCATCCTCAAGCCCGGCCACCTCCCTTCTCTCCAGCTTTGACGAGGCAAAATTTCGGATTGTATATAGGGTCCTGAATAATTAAAATAGGGCCTGTAAAGGGGTGTGGTCCAGTGGTGTATAAGGGATAGGGGTCTCTATTAGGGGCTTTAAACGCCTAAACAATTACCAATACGATTCTCGGGGTTGATAGTATAATTAATGGGCCCCCAAAGCCCTATTCTAATTATTTCGGCCCCTAATATAGACCCTTCTTATAGATCCATTATTACACCACACCCCTTTAGAGCCTTTGCAGGCCCTATTCTAATTATTCAGGACCGTAAAATACTTGGAGGGTCGGGAGACTTAGTAAATAGGTAGTAAGTAGACTTATAAGTACCCTAAAAGCGGCGCTAATTGGGTTTATGGTACTTATAAGTCCCTAAAATAACCAGTTACTAAGTCCCCCGACCCTCCAAGTATACCCTAACCCTGAACGCTTCGAACCCAGGCCCGGCTTCTGAAACGATGCATCATGCAGAGCCGGTGAGAAGCCCAATCGGGCATCTGCGTTTATGGTTTAGAGGTTTAGGGCTTAGAGGTTTAGGGTTTGGAGGTTGAGGGTTTAGAGGTTTAGCGTTTAGGGTTTACGGGCATCTGGTTCTGTTATACTCGTTTGGGATTAAATGGGATCTTGAATTGCCAACACTGTTCTTCAGAATAGTAGTGGCAGAGTCGCGGCTTTAGCAGCATTGCGAGTAGTCGTGGTCGTCGTGGTTGTCGGAGTTCTTGCTGCAGTATGAGTACAGTAGAAGCCCGAAAGTTGGAAACCCAATAGCCTCCATCCTTAAGAGTAATGTATATAGGGAATCCCAGCACTATTTGGCCTTAATCCGGTTTCCAACTTTATGGGGTTTACCCTAAACCCTAATCCTCCGAACCCTAAACCTCTAAACCCTAAACCTCCGAACCCTAAACCCCTAAACCCTAAACCTCCGAACCCTAAACCTCTAAGCCCTAAACCTTATAGCCAAAGCCGCAGCAAAAGGTTGCGATCGTACCGGCTACTAGGACCAATCCTAGCCCTTCGGCCCGGCTTATGAGGGCCGTTTAGGGTTTAGGGTTTAGGGTTTAGGGGTTAGGGGTTAGACTTCCGAAAAGAGGGGTACCTTATTTAGGGGTCCTTATAATAAGGGTCCTACTATTTGGGGTACTATATTAGGGTCCCCTTATGAATTACAGGAAACTCCAGAAAGTTGGAATATGGTTTCAGGGTAGGATACCCTATAATTTACCATAAAGGGTTTAGGATAATCATATTCCAACTTTCTGGCTTTTACTGTAGGGTTTGGGTACGGCCCCCTCTCAGTAACAGTTGGAGAAGATTCATAGTATAGATATATTAGGCCATTAATAGTAGCCCTATTATAGACTGTTACTGTATGAGGGCCGAAGTAGTAGGGTGTTTGTGGGGCTCAGGGCTTTTAGGATTTAGGGCTTACGGTTTAGAGTTTAGAGTTTAGGGTTTAGGGTGCAGCTTCGGCTTCGCGGTGTAGGGCTGCGCACTTTCATTGTATTACTCCCGCCCCTTCCCTTCCTTTGCCCATGCAGTCCACCCCTTGGAAAGTGGAATCAATCCTCGTGCGAAGTCCCACCCCCCACCGATCCCTCCCGTTGACGATCTTAACCCTGAGCCCTCAAAACCTAAACCTCATAGATTAACTCGAAACCCCAAACCTTAAACCTTAGACCCGAAACCTTCAACCCAAATCTCATATTCTTAGTAGCTGGGTGGATACACTTTACACTTTTTGGGTTTATATTACCCGCTATATAAAACTAAAAGTGTACCCTTTGGGGGGGTTATGAACTCAGCAACTAAATATTCCCTTAGACATGAAACCCCAAACCTTAAACCCTCAATCTTTACCCGTAAACCTTAATCCTTAGACCCTAAACCCTAAAGCCCAAATCTCATATTCCCTTAGCCCAGAAGCCCGAGCCTGGCAACGCTACACAGGTGGTGCCGGATCAACCTCCTCTCGCTCCTCGCTTCGATTTCGGTCCGCAGAACACCACGCCGCTTTCTTTAACAAGAACTCCGGTGTAGGGTTTATAGGTTTTTTAGGGTTCAGGGTTTTTCGGGTTTAGGGTTTAGGGTTTTTAGGGTTTAGGGTTTAGGTTTTTTGCAGTCAGGACAATTTTACGAAGGAGTCCTTATACGGCAACTAGTGCAGCAAACGTTTTCCGTCTTGACATGTGATTTTGCTAGCTCCTTGCACAAACTCCCCAGCGCTGTGTATTACTTGAAGGCAAGTGCCGGGCCAACCCCAGCGGCTGGTTACTTCGCTTCCTCGTAACATGCCGAATCTGCGTGTCGACATGGCAATTCACTTCAGAACATCACACGTGCCAGAAGCCGCAGCAACCAAACACCCTGAGCTCACTTGCAAAACGAAATCCACCCGACAGCATGAACTCGAAGAGACATCTACACTCACAGCCTAAAGCCTAACCCTTCCATCCCGAAACGTGGCGATCCTGCGCGCGCAACGTCCTTCTAGTCCCTTGCTCTAGCTGACGGAGTCTGCCTTGCTTCGAGGTTAATGGGTAGTTCAACAGTCAGAAGTGGGGGTAATAAGTCGGGTACCTCCACTATGACCCATATTAGGGGACTTATAATCCGACTTTTATTAACTACCCGTGAACCATCTTGTAGCTGACTCAAAAGCCAACCTGCACACTTCCTGTGTTATTTGCAGTCACGCTCTCACTCTCAGTTATCGTACACTGTGAATCCTAAGCCCTAAACAACCCTATGAGCCCCAAATAGGAACTACTTGGGGCCCTTTGAGAAAACTGAACCCGAAACATAGAGCCCCGAAAACTCGGAACTTTGAAGACCCTAAACACTGAACCCCGGCCCAGGCAGGAGGGCTACAAGGCACTGGACAAGCTGATGCGATGGCAGAGTGCAGGCTCGGCTTGCATTCGAACGGGAGCGGAGTGCAGTTAGGGTTCAGCGTTTAGCGTTTCTCAGGCAGTTCTGAAACAACTGTGAGGCTTGTTTGTGTAATTGTTGAGTCTATTGCTTTTGCGGGGCATGGTTTCTGTGATACTGTCCTAGGCTGACTAGTGTGGGCCCTCCTCAAACAAGTCAAAACCTACTCAATCAAGTGATGCCCGACGGCGGCCTGTCTAAATTGGTCTGGGCAATCGTACTTGTATTAGTAATGGCTTTTGTAAAATTACGTATCAGCATCAGTGGTGGTTGTAGTCGTGGTCGCAGTCGCAGTCGCAGTAGTAGTAGTAGTAGTAGTAGTAGTAGTAGTAGTAGTAGTAGTAGTAGTAGTAGTAGTAGTAGTAGTAGTAGTAGTAGTAGTAATAGTAGCAGTAGCAGTAGGAGTAGTAGTAGTAGTAGTAGTAGTAGTAGTAGTAGTAGTAGTAGTAGTAGTAGTAGTAGTAGTAGTAGTAGTAGTAGTAGTAGTAGTAGTAGTAGTGGTAGTGGTAGTGGTAGTAGTAGTAGTGGTAGTAGTGGTAGTGGTAGTGGTTGTGGTTGTGGTAGTGGTAGTAGTAGTAGTAGTAGTAGTAGTAGTAGTAGTAGTAGTAGTAGTAGTAGTAGTACTAGTACTAGTACTAGTACTAGTACTACTAGTACTAGTAGTACTAGTAGTACTAGTAGTACTAGTAGTAGTAGTAGTAGTAGTAGTAGTAGTAGTAGTAGTAGTAGTAGTAGTAGTAGTAGTAGTAGTGGTGGTAGTAGTAGTAGTAGTGGTGGTGGTGGTGGTCGTGGTGGTAGTCGTCGTCGTAGTAGGTGTAGTCGTACTGTAGTAATTAGTCGTAGCAATAGACTGCACATTGGGATCCGCAAGACTAGTCAATTCAGAGCACACAGGATCTTCAAGAAGCATCTTGGGTTGTTTACATTCTATCGGGAGCGATCTGGATGGGTAGCTATTCAAAACCATCCCCTTAACACTTGTAGTCCCTGTACGAATACTCGACTATACCCCGAAACCCTGTTGCAGACACATGAGGCCCCTCTGGTAGGGCTGTGGAGTTCCTTGACATGGTTTCGGGTCTAGGAGGCTAGGAATTGCGCCGAGTAAGTTGGGATTCCCACACCATAAACCTCCAGACCCAGCTCCAAAACCTCAGACCTGCTCAAACCTTACTTGGAGGTTCATGGGTAGATATATTAGAAGGGTGGTGTAAATCCCAAATGTGGGTTAATGATAGGCACGCTACTTATATGCCCACTCAAAGACCTTCCATGAACCTCCAAATAAACCCTAAACCATATAAGTCCCGGACCAACAGGATCTCTAACCCTAAGCCTGAAAGACGGCAAGTGGCTTCTTCCTCTTACCTCGAAAGAATCCATCCTAAAGCTTCGAAAGGTGGTCCTTAAATCGACCCCCGAACCCGCAAAGAAACCGGAGCCTGTCAAAACCAGGGCTATAAGCATGAAGCGCAGTACGACAGCGCACAACCAAGACAGAACACACTCTATGATAAACAAGAACCCAAAGGGTCCAATGTACCGATATAGTAGAATGTAGGGTTTCCATCGTAGGAATTACTATTATGACTTGGGGAAGTATCCCCCATAACAGTACATAGGACCCTTTGGGGAAAGAAGATACTGAACCCTAGCGCCTAAACTCGTCAACTCCAAGCCCTCTACGGAGAACCACACCAAAGCTGTCCGCAAGGAAAGGCCGAGGACGGACTCGCTCGGCGCTTTGCAGAGGCGCTGAAGGCCGGAGTTGTGGGAATGTGTTTAGGGCTTACATAGGGTGGGGCGCAAGATTTCGATGTTAGGTTTCAAGATGTTCAGTGTTTTCTTGGGAAGGTGGTTCTCGTGTTCTGTACAGGATTTGCTAGGTTTTCGTTTGTATATAGGTTTGATGTGTCTCGGTCTAGAGGTTTGAACGGGGTTGCGGGTGCATCCAGGATTCAGGTTCATTTCTAGTGTTTGAGATGTGTGTTTCGTTGTGCCTACGGTTTCAAACGCAAGCCTCAGAAGTAGAGCTCTTCTCCTTCTACGCATGCTTTGATGTCTTGGTTGGTGGAGCAGTCATTGTGTGTGTGTGTGTCTGTGCCTAGAGATTGCGGCTCGTATTATTATTTAAGGTATATTCCTTACTTAAGGGGTTTTGGAGCCTCTGGGTGTGTCTGTGTCTTATGGTTCTGTTTTGTGGGGGTGGTTGTGGTCCGGTCTTGCTGGTAAGTGTAGTCAGTCTTTGGGGTTGGGCATGTGGGTTTGCATTTGGATTATGGGTAGGTTCGGGGTAAGTGTTAGTGGCTGTTAGCGGTTCGGGTTCAGGGCTTGTGCTTGGGGCGAGGGCTCGTGATGGGCTTTGATTTGGCTCATACTCTTGCTACAAGCTTCTCATATATTCATTGTGTTTTTTCACAGTTTTTCATGGTGTACACAAAACCCCGTATCTGTAAACCCCACACCCTAAACCCCTAAACCCCTACGTAGACTCTAGACCCTAACTCCTGCCTGCAACTCTCTTCACCTACAGTTTAGCAGCCATTACCCCTTAACTAGTAGGTAGAACCCATAAAACTGTAGGTAATGGGAGTCCCAGGTAAGCCCTAAACCACTGCACCCTAAACCCCTACACCCGAAACCTCTAAACCCTAAACCCTAAACCCTGAACCTTTAAACCCTGAAACACTAAACCCTAATATTTAAACTCCTAAACCCTAAACCTCCGAACCCTACAAACCTAACGGCCTAAAGGGTGTTTCATGCTGGGCCAGCTCCAAGTAGGCCCTAAACCCCATACCCCTTTTAAAGGGATCCAAAACGGAGCCCTTAAGGTTTGTTTAGGGCTGTTTAGGGTTTTAGGGTTTAGGGCTTAAGCGGGTGCAAAATTAGGGCCTGAGGTTTTGTTTAGGGCTTTAGGTTTAGGGTGAGAGAAGAACGCCTGTCATCTGACCCTTGTATACCTGGCCCCTGCAGGAGTACGCCTGCATTGGAGCAAGCCTCCAACCGCAGCTTCAGTATGTGGCTCTCTCAGCACAGCAGAGATGCTTGCAGCATGAGCTGTGTCCCGTGTATAGCTGGCAGATGTGTCGATGCCGGTATTACATACTGGGCCCTTAGAGTTTTCCAGCTGTATTTTCAGTCACTAAAACCTAAAGCTAAACTCTGTACCCTAAAGCTTAAACCCTTGACCCTAGCCACTAGTCGACAGCCATACACACACACAAGACTGGGAGTTTCGCTTCGTCTTTGCTGCAGCGGCATGTCCCTTCTTTCTGTTGACCGAGCTGTGGCCCGTGTGTTAGGTGTTAGGGTCTGACGTTAAACCCCAAACGCTGATTGGGCGGTGCGAAGCCATCCGGATGAGAAGGTATCATCATGTTTTCCAGGGTGCAAGGTTACGGGTAAAGCGCATGTAAGTTTAGGGGTCTAGTTCGAAAACCCCATCCACCCTAAACCCCTAAACCCTAAACCTACCCAGGCTTTGGTTGGCGAGTTTCGCCGGCTGCTCTGGGACATGGTGCAGCAAAGGTTTCTAGAGGAAGGCCACTGCAAGTTCGCCAACGTCATCACATATCCTGTAAGGGTTACTATGAGAGGTACTGATCGTGCTAGAATCGGCTCTGGCTGTGGATCTGGGAAACACATAATAGGGACTTAAAGTAAAAGCCAGAAAGTTGGAATATGATCATCCTAAGCCCTTCTATGGTAAATTATAGGGTATCCTACCCTGAAACCATATTCCAACTTTCTGGAGTTCCCTATAGAGGTTTAGGGTCGAGGGTGTAGAGCAGGCACGAAGGATTGAAGCCCAAAACACGTGCCCAGCTAATTCAATGCTGAGCAAAGTCGATGCCATGTGAACGTTGACAGACTGGGAGACACGGCCATCGGCATTAACCCGTTTACTAGAAGCGCTTACCCCAAAACCGCTAACAGTCAACCCCAACTTCACATCCTCGATTGGCCTCAAAAGGTGGCCCCGAAACCCTAAACCCCGTAAATCCCTGGAAATTATGTCATACGAGCCCTTACGACAAGGAGCATTAACCTGCCGAGGGATATGTGTTCCATGAACCCCGATATGGGAGTTTCCGAAAATAAGGGGTACCTTATTTTGGGCCCTTAAAGCAAGGATCCTACTATTTAGGGTGCTATATTAGGGTCCCCTAATTCTCGGAAACCCCCATATAGGGACTGTAGCAATTAGAATGGGGTTTCCGAGTATATTATGCTGCAATTATAGTAAGGAGCCCTCAAACTAGTAATCAAGGCCTTACTATTAGACTTCGAGCCCTTATCCCCGAACCCTACACCTCAAAGCCCTCATAGCGGTAGCCACAAACCCTTAATTAATCGCTCCCCTTACATTCTCCTCATCAAGGACCTCAGCGTTAACCCTCACCATTGAAGCAGGAGTTCGGATGAGGGGGGTCCCTTGGGCATATAGACCCTCTCAATAAGGTCCCTTTTAAGAGGGCCAGAAGTAGGGGGAAGAAGGGGCCCCTTCAAGGTGTCTCCCTAATACTACTCACATTGAAGTCAGATGACTGGAGTATGTGCCCGATCTTGATCAATGTCTTGACGCGTCGTATCCGGGGCCGATTTTTTTGAAATTCGCTAAATTAAAGCCCTAATAATGCCCATGCAGCCCCTTCTGACAGGATCACGGAACGTTAGGTATGAAGTGTCTTGTGTACCTTAACTGGGGTTATAAGTGCCAGTAACTATAGTTACTTTATCTTTTTATAACCTTGCCAAGCCCCACGATCCTCCAAGATGCAGCTAAGACAAATTCCAAGCTGAGCCCGACGCCCTAAGCAGCTGTAGAGACTTTGTAGTAAGGGTTAGAGGGCTCCAGGGTGAAGGGGCTAGGATTAAGGGTATATACTTGAAGGGTCGTGGGACGCAGTATCTTGGGTTATAAGCAATGTAACTCTAGTTATATATGATGTTAACCCACTCAGCTGACGCTATAGCATTTTTTGACTAGATCCCATAAGGCGCCATGTAGGGACCTTTGTAGTAACTCTGAGAGTAAACTCGTAGGCTCCATAGTAGTTCCTGGTGGGGTTACCTTACAAGATTCTACATATGAACCCCCAAAAGGAACTACTTTATGGAGCCTTTGGGTGAACTCGGAGGTCACTTGGAGTGCCTTCTTCTGGCCTTTATGGCCACGCGCGGCTGGTCCGAGGAGTTGCCTCCCATGGGCAGCAGGTCCTTCGACTTTCTTGCTTGGTTCACTTTGTTTTCTTTGAGGGTTAGTAATAATAAGCTCTTTTTAGAGGGGTTTGTAATATCTTTTAAAGGGGTTTGTCAGCAGTTCTTTTTCAGGTGGTTTGTAATGAGATCCTTTCAAGGGTGGTTGTAGTAAACGTGATATTGTTTAGGGGTTCTTTAGATGGTTTCTTTGCGTTCCCGGTCTGCGGGTGGAATACACCGGGTGTAAGCTTATGAGTGCAGGGCATTTCAGAAGCCCTCAGCTCTAAGCAGTTCAGACTTCGGGCATGTTAGGCATCACGGGTTAGATTTCTCTATGTCCTAAGGCCTAAATCACAACACCTAAAACCGTATAGCACACCACTAATTCCTGAACCTCAAGGTTTTTCGCTAGCAAACTACTGTGAACTTCTTTACGGAGCTTATCGGAGTTTACTCCCACTGACACAGGTATTCTAATATTCTAGAGCGAAGCCTAGAACCTTAACCCCAAAACCGAAAACCCCCGAACCCTAAACTGCTAAGCCCCCAGTCCCCTAAACCCTACATCGCATGTGACCCCTCGCAAGGTTTCCCGGCAGCGCATCTCAGAGGCAGCGATCGCGATCTTCGGGTGCTAAAGCTAAAAAGGCTTCTAACTTTGGATTTAAGGCTTTTGGTTGAGGGCTTATAGGATTCATAGTAATTATATCTAAACCCCAAACCCTAAAGCCAAAACCCTAAGTTGTCGGGTACAGGAATTGGGCCCTAGCGTTCAGTCTTGACGCGCAGGTTCGTAGGTACATTTCACCGGGAGGGCTGCCTTGAGGAAACCTTGAAGTCTGGTATTCAAGATTCTACCCATAGGCTCCACAGTAGTTCCTTTTGGAGATTACAATATAGGATTCTAAATATGAACCTCAGAAAGGAACTACTATGGAGCCTCTAGGTAGGGTAGGGTATTTAGGGTTTGGGGTGTGCGAGCACGCGCGCGTGCGTGTGTGTGTGTGTGTGTGTGTGTGTGTGTGTGTGTGTGTGTGTGCGCGGGTGTGTCTATGTGTGTGTGTGTGTGTGGTTTAGGGATTGAGGGTGTAGGGGTTGGAATCATCACCTATGTTCTTCTTTGAGGTTTCTTGGTTTCTTATTATAAGTATACTGCGAGGTACCCCAAACCCAGAACTCTTACCAATATATGTGCAGATTAAGGTTTGGGGTTTAGCATTTAGGGCTATGTTGTTCTCTCTTCCTGGAGCTCTTCCTTGAGCTCCTCGGGGATGACCGGGCTTCTCGTCGGTAGCAAGTTTCTGATAGGCGCAGCATCTCTGGTCCTCAACGATGAGTCCGTCTCACCAGAGCTGGAAAGGCTCCCAAGGTTCCGGGAAGCGATCCGACACACAAGGAAGTCGCTGACATGGTCAGTATGACAAGCGAAGAAATTACACAACACTGGGCCAGGATGCGGCGAGTTGGTGCAGCCAAGGCACCTGGATGCACGCCCCATTAGAACGTCTTCTCAATGGCGGTTGCGCATCATCTCGCAGTATGGAGGTTGCAAGTTTTTTGCGCTTCGTTGCTGACAGTGGCATTGGAAGTGCCTGTACCTATCGGACAGAGTGGAGAATTTTTGGGTCGGAAGAGTCTGTTGCAGGTTCTATTGACTCCAAGAGTAAAAGGAGGGGCCCTCAATAAGGACCCCTAGGTCCTAGGTATATACCCTTAACATATAGCTATTATCTACCCATTGTATAGCCCCATTATAGGGTAGAATGGAAAGCTAGAGTGCTGAGGCTGCTGGTGAGAAATGCTGACTGAAATCCAAGACCGAGCCTTTAAAGAGAGGATTTCGGGTGCTTTTGGGTAAAACCCTGAACCCGAAGCCCCTCAACCCCAGACCCTGAACACCTAATTGCGGTTCAGGGCTGCTCTCGGGTTTCGGGTTAGCCCTTGCAATCATAGCCCATACAGATTCCCTGTAGTTCCCCCAAGCAGCTCCCCAGAAATTCAGGAATAGACCTTAAATCATATTAGGGCTCGTAATATTATGTAAGGTATATTCCTTAATTGAGGGGTTTTGGAGCCTCCCCCCCCCTCCCCGCCGTTGCAACGGGCAGGCGGCAGCAAGAGCCGGACACCTGGGCGATGCGCGTTCGGAGGTCGGGGTCTCGGACCGGGCGCTATCCCTTCACCCTAAATCCCTAAGCCTTAAGCCAGCCCTACACTTACAAGAAGAACAAACCCTAAAATTCTAAACCCTAAACCCTAAACCCATGACTATCAAAGCTGCTTGACGCGACCACGACTGGCTAGAGGTAATTGCTGCATGGCCAGCTGCCTTGGGACAGAGGGATCTCGGTATAGACCACCGAATGCTCGTGGGACATGCAGGATTTAGGGTTTTAGAGTTTAACGGTTTAGGGTTTAGGGGTTTAGGTTTTGGGGTTCAGGGTTTAAGAGTTTAGGGTTTAGGGCATGCAGCACGCACCACAGGCCCAAGGTAGAGCCAGTGCGCGTGCTTTGGGCAATGTTTTTTTGGACCATGCTTCACGAAAGCCATTGCACAAAGAGTATGTGGTGCTATGAACACCACGGAAAATGTGCATGTTAGCTCCCTGTTCGTGTTGACACACATCTGGTTCATCGTAGTAACTCGTAGAAACTGTAACACATGGGGGTTCCGAAAATAGGGGAGCCAAAGTTAGCACCCTAAATAGTAGGATCCTCATTATAAGCACCCCAATATAAGGTACCCTTCATTTTCCGAAGCTCTCATATCCCCAAGCCCTTTGCCAATCGTTTAGACCGTCTTAGGCCTCACAAGCGCTCTTTCATGACCACCCTGGGGAGCTGTTCGGGTAGTTCTTGCTTAGAGTTTAGGGTTTATAGCGAATACACAATCGTTGGGCAGAGGCAAGTGAGCGAAGCCCAGGTTCATCCAGGCTGCCGTGAAGGATGTCGTGCAAACCATGCACCCCGAGATGAGGGAGAAATGGAAGCAATTCAGGCCGGTAGTTGTGTTTGGTGTTCTCAGGTTTCAGGCCGCTTTGGTTTATCAGCTGAACGGTTTCGTTTTTTTAGCCTGCTGCTGAAGAGGTAGCAAGATATCAGAACATCAAGCTTTCCCGGCCTAGGAACGCACATCGACAAAACGGGCTTGAAGTAGGCATTGGCGTCGGTTCTTCCTCACTGCCCATGTTTTGCCGGAAGTCGATGCGCAAGACCTGCAATCTCCAACCTCAAAGCACAGCCAGGAGATATGGCAGTCGTGTGAGAAACAAGACTAAGCCCAGATCAACAGAGTATGTTAATCTTCCTGCGGTATGACAGCGGCATTGTTGCGAGTACACAGCGACTGGCAAGAACAGCCACATAGCACTGTAGCCTGAGAAGGCCCTGGACAAACATATAGCTTCTGACAGATGCCAATGCGTGGAGACTGTGTTGCAGCTGTGAGCGCAACATCTTAATGCACAACGGCTTAGAGCAGGCTAGCAGAGGCCACATGGCTAGACTCCAACGGTGTCATAACCGTGAAAATTCGCAAGTTTCACCGTATCACAAATACCTATAAAGTTTCTCAATGGCCCAGTGCACGGTTGCTATACTGCTGACAAGATATACCTGTCATCTCCATGGTAGTTCCTTTTCCTTTGCTTGACCAGTTTTATTTTCAGGGTCCTGTAACGTAACCAACAGAAGGAAGACTGTAGGTATCTTTGAGCAGACTAACTATCAACCTGTCAAAACTGTGTTCCGCAAGACTGGCACGCAAACAAGAGTTGCCACACGTTTTATGATTGCAGGCGTGTGGGGGCGAGCTGCTTCAGGGTGGGCTGCTGTAATCAAACGCTTCTCATCACCTGGCAACACAGCGGCAAAGGCCCTCACCTAAACCAGCTAACAATTTTAGGGCCTGTGAGCCTGAACCACAATTTTAGGGCCTGTGAGCCTGAGCCACAAGTTAGCCACGCACTTTGCAGAATCGCCGAAGTGCGCGATTCGACCAGCGACATCTACAGCTCCGTGGACGTGAGGGCTTGGCCGCTGATTTGCGCAGCTTGGTTCGAGTTAGACAGGGTTTGGTGGTGGGGGCCATTTAGGGTTGAGGGCTTTTTAGGAACTAGAGCTGTAGGTTTCGCGCGAGTTCTGCGGCCGCGGGGTTTAAGTAAGTCTAGAGGCTTCTGAGTAACGGAGTTGTGAGGACGTTTTTGTCCCGGTCTGAGGTCTCAAAGCTTCTACATCCCAAGCTTCTTCTGTTTATGCAAGTGGTTCAAGTTTACGCAGAGAAAAGTTTAGCAAAGTATTCTGTACTTGGAGGGTCGGGGGACTTAGTAACTGGTTATTTTAGGCACTTATAAGTACCATAACCCCAATTAGGGTCCCTTTTAGGATACTTACAAGTCTACTTACTACCTACTTACTAAGTCCCCCGACCGTCCAAGTACCAGACATTGTGAAACCCGAGGGCAGCAGGAAGCTCTTCCAGCGACTAGAAACAAGCGCGCATGGGTCTGGGCTGTGGGGCTTCACCCGTTTTTTCTTACATACGGCCGTTCATAGTATTGTTTCTACTGCTGATGACACAAGCCTGCATTAACTTAAGGACCCTAAACGATGAGAGTTATGGTACATTCTTTATTGCCCGGAAATGCAGGATTTACATTATCAACCGTAGTATGTGGCGAGAGAGCCTTGGCGACGTGTCTCCGGCCTATGCACTAAGTTTTTTTTAGAAGCCGAAGCCCTGGGGATCTAAACCCCGAAACGCCCAAAGCCACAACCCTAGAATAGCCCAGACACAGAAATCCTGAACCTTTCTCAACCTCTACCCGAAACCTTCCCAAAAGCGCTCGTACGACCCCCGAAGCAAACCCGAAACCCTATAAGCCCTAAGCCGAAGCCTCATGAGGAGATTCTCTCTTTGTCTCCGGACCTGCTCGCGAGCGAGGCAGGCTGCGTTTCCTCCGTGTGTAATCTGTGCGGACATGGGGTTCAGGGTTTTCGGGTTCATGCCTCTCTACTGCTGGGATGCTGAGTTCGGAAGCCCGCTTTGAAATCCTGCACGGATCTGCATGGTGTCAACACGGTGTCTGTTTGTGTAGAGTTGAGGGTCAAAGCTAGCAATTTCGTTCTCGAGTGGATGACTAACAGCTCGGACAGGAGTCTTGCAGTGCGCCGATATCTTGATTTCGGCCAGTGTGCTGGTAATTACTGTGTACCTGTCCTACTATAAGTGCGCATTAGCTGTTGCCCCAGCCTTAACCCTAACCCCCAGACCCCCCAACTACCCTCTAATATACCCCAAATACCCACCTTTAAGAGCCATAAAGATTCTATTAGTTTTTTGGGGGTCCTCCCCGGGACTGTTGTACATATGGATGGGCACGGTGGGCCCACTCCGACTTCTCAATGTAGAGGGGTACCTTATTTTGGGGTCCTTATGAGAATCCTACTATTCAGGTACTATATTAGGGCCTACTATTTTCGGAAATCCCAGTGTAGAGGGGGGAATCGATTCAGGCCCCAATAGCTATTGGAAGGCAATGATAACCCTTACAGCAACCCTCAGAGTAGCCCTCAAGACAACCCGGGTAGTAACTGGCTAGAAACCTGAGTAGTCAACCCGACAATGCTCATAACAACCCTACTACGGTTGATGATACAAATCCTGCATTACCCATAATAAGGAATATGTCATAATTCCCATAGTTTAGGGTCCTTAAGGTCATGCAGGATTTATATCATCAACAGTAGCACCTGGTACCTCAACCTAATCGTAGCCCCGATGTTCACGGAGCCGGAAGAAGGACCCTGAGCCCTGATTGTGACCTTGACGACGGGGCTTTACTCATCCTTTACACTGGCTGCAATAAGATACGCTCCAACAGATCTGAAAGTTACCCTAAACCGGAGCCCTAAACCCTAAACCGTAAACCCTGTTTGGGGCTTATGAAGTCGGCAACTAAGCCCTGATCGCTGTCAACACTTGCTGCCAAGACCTCCCAAGCAACCCAACATGAAGGAGTTTCCGAAAATTGGGGGTGCCTTAGGGTTCCTTTAAAGGGTTACTATAAGAGTACTACAAGGGTTCCTTTAAAGGGCTCTGTAAGGGTGTTTGGATGTTCGAAAAAGATGGGGTATCTTACGTATTGTGGGCCCCTTATAATAAGGGTGCTATATTAGGGTCCCCTATTTTCGGAAACTCCCATGTAGAAGGAGAAGAGCCTGATGTATCCCGAAACCCTAAACCGTAAACCTGAACCCAAATCGAAGTCGAGGTACCGTTGGAACTTCAAGAAGCTCAGACACGACCCATTCCGAACGTTTTCCTGAGAAAGTTGGTTGTCTTCTTTAAGGATTTACGGGCTACTAAAAGAAGAATCCTATGATTTGGTGTGAAGAGTTGAGTTCCTGACTCTAACTCCTTTTACAGTAGCCCTACGGCTTGAAACGGAACGTGATGTAAAGGTTGTAGAATGGGAAGAAGGCTGTTTGCCGCCAAATCCAGCTGCAGATGTGCGTACAGGGCCGGGAGCCCAAGACGCCTTAAACTAGTTTTCGCCACTACATGACCTTTTAGCTTAGGATTTGCGGTTGATGTCGTGATGTCGGGAGAAATGACAGCAAGGCGAGGATGGTGGTGATGTTGTGAGCCATTTGTATCGCCATCAGCACCATCATGATTATGATGCTGGTGTTGACGACGATGTTCACTATAAGGGTTATGGCAGCAATGGGCATGTTCGTCATGAGTCCTGTGATTACCTGCCCTGATAGTGATGCCAGTCCTCGAATTAGATGTTGAGCCGCTGTGGTTGAGAGCTCAGGGTGTACCTAAAGCATCAATTTTTGTTGACGGAAAGCCGTCAGCACGCTGCCCCAGAGCCTTACAACAGTCAAAACCATGCGAGCGCACAAGGTCCACGGTTTAAGAGTGTGGGCTTAGCCCTAATCCTTAATTCCGAGATCTTCAACCCTACGTAATCCCGGTACCCTAACCCATGAACCCTAATCCCTGAACCAAACAGCCCTGTCTCCGAGGCACGACGCGACCCATGAAGTACCAGTGGCTTTGCCAAGCCGTTGCCTCAGATATTGCGCCGTGTGCTTCTCTCAGGGTTTACAGTAGAAGCCAGAAAGTTGGAATATCATTATCGTAACCCCTTTAAGGTAAATTATTGGGGATCCTACCATTAATCCATATTCCAACTTTCTGGCTTCTACTGTAGAGCAGTTTCGTAAGGTCTTTCGATTTTGGGGTTTCCGGCGCAGGGACTTCTACTTCTTTTAAGAGGGGATAGGAGGTTTCGGGGTCTCAGGGCTAGGGGAAAGGGGTTTTGGCTTTCGGGATTGCGGTTTATGATCTGGGGCTTTGCGGCGACTTTCCCAGCACCAGTGCTTCCCCAAAGGACGGAGCCACCGGGTGTTGACTCGCATGTACCCTAAAGCTGGGGAGATCTTTTGGACTAGCCCTAATAAGACGAATAGGAATAATGATATAATACTCTCCCCAGGAGTGTAATGCTAATAATAACAACACTCATAAGATTCTTTGCAGATCATGTCTTTCTAGAACTTCTTGGGCTGCAAGATTCTGAATCCCTCGGATAAGTACTTGGCAGATCACGGGTAGTTATGAGTGGGGTGATAAGTCTCCTAGCACAGGTTATATCGTATCCTAATTAACTATAGCGGGTAGTTCCGTGTGTGGTTACAAGTACCGTAACATGTGTCTTAACTGTAGTAACGCTACGTACAACCCCAGTTGTGACAATTACCCACGAACCTCCAAGTAGGCTCGACCTCGGAACCCCTTAAGCCCGAAACCATACCATACTCAGCTTACCCTAAGACAAATCTTCCGAATAGAGGAGCCTAAATGGTTACCAATACTTGTGGGGGGTTATGATTATAGTATAGTGGGCCCCGAAACCCTAGTCTAATTATTAAGGCCCCTACATTATAGTACCCTTATAGGTCCCTTTAAAGGAACCCTATTCTAATTAGTTAAGGCACTCATATTACACTACGACTCCCCCAGCGAATCTCATGGGTCCCGCACGGTCTAAAGCTCGAAACTCTTTAAGGTTTAGGGTTTAGGGTTTAGGGTTTAGGGTTTAGGGTTTAGGGTTTAGGGTTTAGGGTTTAGGGTTTAGGGTTTAGGGTTTAGGGTTTAGGGTTTAGGTGGGTCCTGCAGTGGTCCCCAAAGCTAAACCTAAACCCTATAGCCTTAAACTCGAAACTTCCGCCTAAAAACCCGAACCCTAAGCCTTAAAGGCTGGAAGCCCTAAGCCGTAACCCTGAAAACTGAAGCCCTGTAAACTCTTATTCTTGTGGGATTTTCCGAAAACAGGGGACCCTAGGATAGTACCCTAAATGGTGGGATCCTCATTATCGGGACCCCAAATAAGGTACCTCCTTTTTAGGAAACTCCCTTGAAGCCCAAGAGGCCGCCGACTTGCTCCACAAGCTGCACCTACAAGTCGAGTTTGACGAGGCGGCTTCTTCTGCCTAGGGCTTCTTATACAGAGGTTGGGTACTATATGGATATGGGTAGTTGTCAAAATTATGGCCCCTGTCTGAGTACCCTAAATACTAGGTGCCGTATTATGATAAGGACCCAAAAAGGGACCCTAATTTTGACAACCACCCATATAGATATATTCGGACCTTAATAGTAGCCCTAATACTGTATGGGGGCAGTACCCAACACATAGGGTTCAGGATATTCTGCTCAAAGACTATCAATGTCAAGAAGAACAATGAATGGTGGCATGGAACCGACAGAACTAGCAGTGACTTCGCAGTTCACGGGGTGGTGAGTACGCCGGGATCCGCACCTAAAGCCTAAACCCGAAACCCTAAACCCTAAACCGAACCTACAGGCCAGGAGCGATTCGGGTCTGTAAGGCAAGCATTGAGTCACCTCCCCCGAAACCGGCGCTCTGATCCGGCTAGGGTTGGAATATTTGGGAGTCTATGCATGTATATGTTTGAAATATATGTATTGTATTGTATGTATGTATGTATGTATGAATAAACAAATCAGTTATGAATATGTGTGTATAAATATATATATATATATATATATATATATATATTTATGCATGTGTGTGTGTGTGCGTGTGTGTGTGTGCGTGTGTGCGTGTGCGTGTGCGTGTGGGTGCGTGTGTGTGTGTGTGCGCGTGTGTGTGTGTGTGTGTGTGTGTGTGTGCGTGTGTGTGTGTGTGTGTGTGTGTGTGTGTGTGTGTGTGTGTGTGTGTGTGTGTGTGTGTGTGTGTGTGTGTGTGGAACCCCCCCTTACCTTTTCCTGTTTCAACAGCTCTCCAGCCCCTGGTGCTCGAAGGGGGGGTGGAGGATAAGCCTTAACTACACGAAGAGTGCTATAAGATCAGAATAGGCAGTAAATGCACCGTATCTAAAGCAGATTAAAGACTAATTTATGGTGTGCGACATCGGTCGGACCGATGCAAGTTGACTCGGGCCCAGGATGGAAGATTGAAGAGTTGTCGAGGATTCCACTGAAGGGTGTCGGCGTTAAAGCTGTAGGACCTGACCTCAGAATCTTGGCCTGGAGCCCTCTGCCATATTCTTAAAGTGTTTTGCCGTAAACGCCTCGCTGCCCCCAAAATGTAACCATTTGTGGTATTATGTACACAGTTACAATATACAAAATGAGTTAAACAGGTTGGCTTTGTAGGGCGCAGGTGCAGCTTGGATATCTTTACATACCGAAGCAATCCTAACTTCAAAGCACTGAGCCCTAAACCTAAACCCAGCCTCGTGTCAGGTGGCTGCCTGCGAAGAGCAGGGCATCATCCAGCCAGGGATCTACACTACCTTCAATGTGCTGCGGCTGCTTTTAAGGTTTGGGGTTTGGCAGTTCGCGAATCTACAACCCCCCAAACTAAACCCTAAACCCTAAACCCTACTCAACCCTGAATTAAACGCTACACCCTTGGGAAGCCCCGTGACCCGAAAGACGCGAATTCTAAGTCTCAGATCAGGCCCCAATCTCGCAGACCTCACAGCCTGATGACCTCGAGCCCCCAGAGTTATAACATAGGGGCCTGAAGAAATACCTGTACTATTTTGTTTTTTTTTGGGGGGGGGCTTCTTTAGTCTAAGTATAGTATACTCTACACCCAAAGCCCTGTTCTAGCTGTAAAGGCCCCCATATTATGCAACTTGCAGGAGCCTGCTTAAGGCCAGCGTTCCGGAAAACCCCAGACAATCAAGCAAGAATCCTATATTGTCCGAACCATACAACGTGGGTTCTTGGCAAGCTGAGTCCATGTTACCGTGATGGAGTGGTACACTGAGTATAACGGTTCAACATCAGCTTTCTGTTTAAGCGACTTAACTTAAGTTACTACATTAAACCAGTTTCAAGGCACTTGTTTCAGCGAGTTTATGCAGGCGTGTAACTAACACCCTTCCTAGCTTAACTAGGAAAGGGTATCAGAGGTTCTTGCCATGACAACTTAAGTAACCCTATACCCCCTAAACCCTAAACCTTTAGCTTAATTCAGCTCCCGTAAACAGAACCCAGACTCGGCTTCATGGTGTTGGGTGCAAGGGTACTTGGAGGGTGGGGGGGACTTAGCAACTGGTTATTTTATAGACGTATAAGTGTCCTAACCTCAATTGAGGTCCCTTTTAGGGTACTTATAAGTCTGCTTACTACCTTATACTTACTAAGTTCCCCGAGCCTTCAAGTAAACCCTAAACCCTATACCCGTATAGAATCCTTATAGAGCCGTTTAAAGGAACCCTTAGAATCCCCTTTAAAGGAGCCCCGACCCTCCAAGTACCGGGTTGCAGCTCAGGCCAGGGCCAAAGGGCCTGCGTCGCGCCCTAGCAGCCTAGACCTCTAGGGGTGTAGGGCTTATAGAGTTTGCCTTCGCCCCCAAAGAACCTACAAGTACCTGTTTAAGGACTTATACAAAAAAAATGATACTAGGGAACCTTACAAAGGTAATTAGGTTTTTTGGGGTCCAGGTAGGGTTTGGGGTTGAGTCTTCTGCTGTCGCGTTTTCTAAGGATAGGATGCTGGCCGTCAACGAGCGCAAGGAAGTGCTGTACACAGTCCTGAAGGACGCAGTGGGTGCTCGGGGGGCTCAGGGGTCTACTTGGACGATCATGGGACTTAGTAAGTACCTTTATGAGTACCTCAGCTGCGGCTGCAATGGCCATAAGTATTTATAGCGGTTTATCGCGATAGCTTTTTATTTATAGCCTTAGTTTCTAAGTCCCACGACCCTTCAGTAGAACGGTTTGCTTGGAGCATCATGGGGGTTCCAGTACCTTCATTGGGGCTACAAGTATGCATTACCATAGCCAGTCTATTCATTTCCCTAGTAGGCGATAGTTCCAAGGCATGTGAGGCTCAAAGCCCCAAACCTCTTGCAAAGAGCATGAAAACCCACAAGAAGAACCACACTACCCGAAACCGCATCTAGTGTTAGTACAGCAGCTCTGGATGTGTACAGTGAGCTGCCGAACTTCAGACTGCAGGACAGAAACCTGTCGATTTCGAGTTCGGTTGATATCAACCGATCCACATGGGTTCATGAGATAAAACTGACTACTTTAGGGGCCTTAATTATACCTATACTATTTGTGGGGGTTCCTTTTATAGATTATAGTATATTGGGCCCCAAAACCTTGTTCTAATTATTTAAGGCTCCTATATTCTGTCTTGAGGATTTGGGCTCGTATTCGCAGGGTCTAAGGATGTAGCATCCTGAGTAGGTGCCAGCGCAAAACTTGAGATGACTCGTGCATTTGCCTACCTCATGCTCACTATCCTAAACCCGAAGCCCTGAACGAAAATGCGAAGCAATTAACCCTACTATAGAAGCCTAGATAATCAGCAAAGTTTCCTTTTTAAGATAAACGAGCCCAAACCCTATTCAAATCATTAAGGCTCCTACATTAGTTCATCCCTTGAAGCCAAATCCCTAATTCGGCAGTTAGATGAGGATGCGCCGCAGAACTTGATCAGGAAGGTCCTCTCCCGTCTTGACGAGGAACAGACAAACTTAGTGTCTAGGATCTAGGGTTTGGGCTTAAGGGTGAAGGGTTCAGTTCAGGATGGTTTGGTGGTGGTGGTGGTGGAGTTATTGCAATGTAGTGAAAACCTCAGACTATTCCTAGGAAATTTCGTTAGGGTTCGTATTGCGACATCACAGGGGACGATGATCAGGGATAGTACTAGTATGTTTGCGGTCTCCCCTATAAGGGAGCCAAAAATCCCATATGTGTTCTCTGAATGCGGGCCCCTTTTAGGACCCTGGCAAGTACTATACTTGGGATCTAAAATGGGGCCCCAGTGAAGAGAACTACCCACATGAAGAAGACTGGAGCATTTATGTTCGTGTGTGGCACTTGTCATGTGAATCGACGAAACCAGATTTGAAGCTTCAGGTTAGGTTTTCGGGATTGATCACCCTGAGGGTCCATGTATCCAAATAGTATGTACTTTAGGCCCAATGTTCCTAAATAGGGAGTGCTTTAAGATCAAAGTATATACTATTTTGGGTACATGGACCCTTTTGGTAAGGGTTCAGGGTTTTAGGCTATGTTTGTGGGTCTCCTTATTCATGCTTATTATGAAAGCGCTGCACAGGAACCTGGGCGATACAGGTTTACCGTAGGATTTGTTGATAAGTACTGCTGGTGTTGAGCCTGTGTGTGGGGTGCTGTGGACCTCAGTTTCCATAGATTTGCGCCAGGTGCGAAGAAGTTTGGATTTTGAGCCCAGGGAAAAGCTTTTTTCGGAGATGTTTTCAGTGTCGTGCAGCATGACTCAAAGTAGCCCCAAACTTAAACTGCACACCATGAGTCTCCAATGTTAAAGGCCCGAGTAAGCCTACCTGGTAGCATCTCAGCACGGTGAAGGGCTCAGGGTATAGAGTTGTTTTTCTATCTCTGCCCCCTCTAGTACTTGAAGGTTTGTGGGTAAGTGGGGTTATAAGTCCCCAAATATGGGTTGTAAGTATAGTTACCTTATTTTTAACTCCACTTATAACTATTTATTAACATCCAAGTAGGCCCTAAACCCTTTAAAGGAAACCTTAAAGGAACACTTATAACTACCCATGAAGCTCCATGTACAGTTTCTGCAGGACCTCGACGAAACCGAGCGAAAGGAGGACTATGAGCTCAGGACCGCGGCAGACATGTTCTCATACTATCTTAGGGGTTGAAGGGTTCAGGGGTTTAGGGGTTTAGGGCTTAGGGTTTAGGGGTTTAGGGTTTAGGGGTTTAAGGATTTAGGGTTTAGGGTGTAATTAGGGGTGTAATAGAAGGGTTCAGGGTTTAGGGTTCCTTGAAGGATTCACATCCTGTAGGATTCGGTTTATAAGGTGCGTAGGGTCATAAAGCCGTATACTCTTGTGGTTTCGAATGTCTTTCCATAGGTGCATGAGGGGTTAAAGGTTTGGGGGTGTAAGGTGCAGCAGTGTATGGCATTTTTTGGGTTGATTCGGTTTGGCCATTGAGTTTTGTCATGACATCTGCCATGGGCCTGGGAAGTTTCGGTTTGAGCTTTTGAGGGTCATGGGAATTTAGACGGGTTGCGGTCTCCCATTCCTGACACTTTGTGCATTTATGGCTAAGGCTGGTAAGGTAATATAGGGGCCTTAATATTCAGAATCGGGTTTGGGGGATTATTAGTTATACGATTATAACCATAATTCCATAATTAGGAACCCCCACCAACATAGTATAGGCAATTAATTAGTATAAGTAGGGCTTCTAAGGTAGAGAAGCTTTGGGACCGTTAGGATGCTCTACGACTTGCTGGACGAGCTGGACCAAGACATCCGTCGATGTGAAGCTTGGCATCACTTGATGGGCACACGGCTTCATTTGGGGGGTTGTCAAGTCAAAATGATGGTCCCCTTTTTGACGTAGCCATATTCGGTGCCGTACTATATTAGGGACCCAAAAAGGGACCATAATTTTGACAACCACCCATGTGTTTCGTGCTTCCTGTTCTAACGCATGACACTTGCTCCTGGCAGGTATTTATGACCGAATCTTCCCCGATTCCTGATAGCATCATTTTGCAGCAGAGCCCCCCGTCTCCGTCCCCTTGTTCAAAGAGAATAGACTTGGTAGCTGCGCAGGTAATCGTCAAGCTTCAGAAACCGCAACCTCTTGAGCCTATATAGAAGCCCACCACAGCTTCAAAAGCTATCTTTGTCAACAGTGAAGCTAAACCACCTATCTGGCAAAAAATGCAGATACATGGCTCAACTCCGAACTCCCAGGCCGACATCATCTCAAGCCACAGGTGACGCCCTGCAAGAAAAGATGTGAAGCATGCATCCGAGAACACAACTCCTACGTTGTTAATTTCGTTTAGATCCATACATCTCGACGCCAAAAATCCAGCAACCCTACACTAAACCCTGAGTCCTTTAAGCCTTAGCCCTACCCTAAACCCTTAACTTTACCCTAAACCCTAAGTCCCAAACCGTCATTGCCCAGAGACTGCAAAATCCCTTAATTAAGGAATATTCCTTAAATCACAATAGGGATCCTATTATCATTTAAGGTATCTTCCTTAATTAAGGGGTATTGGAAACCTAAACCCTAAACCGTAAACCCTAAATCCCAAACCATAAGTCCCAAACCCTAGACCCCTAAACCCTGAACCCCTAAACAAAAAAAAACCCTAAACCCCAAACCCCCTCAACTTTCCTAAACCCTAAACCGTAAACCCTAAATCCCAAACCATAAGTCCAAAAAACCGTCATGGGCTCAGTCCAAAGCCTTCTACCGGCTGAAGCGCAGCTGGCACCCCGGCGGCTTTAAGATCCCCAGAGCCTCCAAAACCCCTTAATTAAGGAATATACCTAGGGTTCCTTTAAGGGATCTATAAGGGATCTTAAATGATAATAGGATCCCTTATATGATTTAAGGTATATTCCTTAATTAAGGGCTTTTGGAGGCTCTGGGTCCCTGGGGTTGTAGGGTTTAAGGGTTTACAGGGTTGATAGGGCTCATTAAGGGTTTAAGGGTTTAAGGGGTTGTAGGGTTTAGGGTTTAGGGTTTTCGGGGTTAAGGGTTTAAGGGTTGATAGGGTTTAGGGTTTAGGGGCTTAGGGTTTGAGATTTATTTAGGGTTTGGGGTTTCGGGATTTAGGATTCAGGGCTCAGGGTTTGGGATTTAGGGCTCAGAGGCTTGGGGTCTAGGTGTTTAGGGTTTATGGGTTTAGGGGGTTAGGGTAGAGTTGGCTGGTGAGTCCCGTTTTTTTTTCAGATGTTGGAGTGTCTGCTCCGTTTTGGTTTTGAGCACGTTGTTGATTGAGAAGACAACCAATTTCTAGTTCTCGTAGGCTGCCTCACACGCAAGCACCTGATACGGTTGAAAATACATATCCTGCATTACCTTAATGGCCTTAGACTATGGGGATGAAGGTGTATTCCTTTTTATGGGTAATGCAGGCTTGTTTATCATGAATTCTTTGTCCATCTCTGCCCAACCCTGTGCCGTCAAAAGCGATGCCAGTGACACCCGGGGGAGGGGGGTCAAGCAATAGAAAGGTCTGAAGAGTTAGATATATGATGCTAAAAAACAATGTCGTCGTGTCGTCCCCTGATAACTATATACTTTAGGACTGAAAAAATTACCAATGCTATTTTGGGAGGTTCCTTATCTTAATTACAGTATAGTGGGCCCCAAAACCCAATTCTAATTACTAAGGCCCCTTTGCCTAAAGCACCAATTTTGGATGATTATTGTTTGGCTGTCATGTTTGCAAGCTCACCGGTCGGTACTAGTATATAAGTAGAGTTCGGGTTGCCTAAATCATCTGGACACTTAGGGCGGGTAGGGGGGAGGGCGGTAGGGGACTCTGCTTCCTCCCCTTCCCCCCCCTGGACTAGGGAAGCACGCTGTTGCAGCTCTTAACTCCCATGCGCTTCATTTAGCCCGCAACCCAGAAGCTCCAAAACGCCTAGATTAAGGAATCTATAAGGGTTCCTTTAAGGGATCTATCTATAGGGCTTAGGGCTAACCCGTTTAGCCCCTTGATGAAGCAACATACCTGAAATGATATCTATATACATATATAAACCTATTATGACTTAAGGCTTAAGGTGTATAGAGGGGTATGTGGAGTCTCTGGGAAGTTTCGTAAACCAACGTCAGCCCCCGGAACTGTCATAGCCTACAGTCCAGTCCCTTGGGGAAGCTGTTTTAAAAACTTAAAATTCTTGATATTGGACTTCGATACTTGCAACAAAATTTGAAATACCTGATATAGGGACTTCGATACTTGCAACAGGGTTTTGCAGTTTGCTTAAGACCGGGGTTATGCGGGGAGATCAATGCAAATACTGATTGAAAAACCATGCAGCACCTGCGAAACCTGTGCAAAGCTCTTTAAAACCCTATATTGCAATGGGTGTATACGATTCTTAGCAACTCAGACCTCTATATATCAAGCCTTACCACATCCTCAAAATGAAAAGCCCTACACCCCAAAGGCCCTGAACCCTAAACCCTATGTCCAGCACGCTCATGAAAACCCTGCGAAAACTGACTACTACTTGGAGGTTCATGGACAGCCATAAGTCGGTTAAGTCCCCGAATATGGCTTGTCTTTCTAGTTATCCTGCTTATAAACAAGCTTATAACTACCCATGAACCTCCAGGTACCTAAGCTATAATATCCAAGTAGTCATCCCAGGATTTCGTCGTACGATTTCCGGCGGCGGCCTTTGAGTTTGGCCTTCTGTAGGTGCATGACATGTGCGGATAGGGTTAGTTTTTTGTACGTGTTGCGATCGAAATATGTGTGTACATATCATACATACATGGAAACACAAATATGTTAATGTTTCAGTACGTATTTATTCGCTCCGTGTGTACCAAGGTGATATTAAAAGCATTCGTGCACGTGTGCTATCACACTACACTATCACGCAGAGTGCATCTCAAGCCATACACACTACATATGTTCTGGTATGCCGGCGTTGTAACATGATTGCACAGGCCTATCCGTCCACCCGATCGTTCTCCGCTGTCCCAAACACTTCTGATGCTCCCGAAATCGTTCATCCCATTCGCGATTTGGGCTGTGTTAGGGTTTAGGGTCTGATGTACCCTCACACGACGATAATAGTAGCCGACTGGGAATTTATGATTACGCTAGCATGATTGCACAGTCTTGCAGAGTAGTTGTGTCCGCATCAATGCATCGTTATGTGGCCGTGCTTTCCAGATGTCTATTGTATTGTTGGCTAACATGTTGTTTGTTAGAATAGAAGCTGCTTGTAAAAGTGTCGATGGCCATGCCATGCTGCACAATTATCTAAGATTTGCTCTGTTACTGATACTTTGTTCAGTCATCTCATCATGCCGCATTGGACGGCCTGGGGCAGGCCGCCGGTGTCAAATATTATTACTGCGTTTTCTATTACAATCATTCATTAGCCTTGTGACTTTTTGACTATTGTAGCAGTAGCTACAATAACAATAGCAGCAGCAGTAGCCGTAGCAGTGGCAGCGGCAGTAGCAGCACCAGCACTAGCACCAGCAGAGCAGCACCAGCACGAGCAGCAGCAGCACCACCACTAGACTTTTATGCCGCCCAGAACGGGTGTCATCGAGAACGAGGAGCTGACGCCAGCGCAGTTCTGCGACCACATCGAGGACAAGCTTAAATTGATGTAGACGGCGGTGCGAGCCTTAAACCAAGCAAAGGCCAGCAAGCTCGTTTTACCCAGAGTCTTGAACTCAGAAGGCGATCCCATTCGGGACACTTGTCAAGTCTGGAGATTAGACTTCGATGCTGTGGGGCACAGTAGTTTTCATGCATGGAGATGACACCGAGGCTTTGTTGTTGTGGCGCACATGACGATGATAAACAGAACAAAGAGCCACTGTACGGCAACCAACACAAGTTCTGAGCTAAACAGAACTGTTCTTGCTGGTCTCCTCCTGTGCTCATGTGGCCTTCGAAGTAACCATCATCGTAAGCATCGCCGCTGTGCCAACTTCACCATGCCTTGCCCCTGACATCATCCTCGACGCCATAATAATATGCCGGTCTTTGCGGGATCGCACTCCTAATTAGTCTAGGTCAGTCGAGGTATTAGTCATCGGCATATACTGGCAAACAATATGTAATACTATCACCATCATCGTCGCCATGTGTATGTTCATCCCGATCCCCATAGGATTATCCTTATTGTTCTTCATCGCCATTGTCATCACCATCGTCAGCTTATCATCGTCATCAACAGCACCGTGCCACCGACATGGTTGTCATCTCTGTCGTTATCGTCAACATCATGGGCATCATTGTTACTTTGTCATGCTGACCTCTATTTGGCCTAGCATCAACCACCATGTCCGTTTCATGTAAGCAGACCATGTCAGTCGCAAGTCAAAAAATGAAGGGGATGCAAGACGACATGAAGGGCATCATCAAGCCAGCACATTGCATATCAGAAATTTCCCGTAGTTCTAGGCAAAGCTGCGATAAACCAGAGAACGCAGCGATGACGACCTATGCAAAAGCTATGGAAAGCTCTGAAAGGACTGCCCAGAGAGGTACCTCAGTGGTCTAATATCTAATGCGCCTCTTAGATATTAGTTCGAAGCGGGAAACGAGCTGCTGACAAGAATTTCTGACGAAATCAGGCTCCCAAGTTTTGCATGCATGCCTGTATTCCTGGTCCTCTATAAGCTGGACACGATTCTTTCAGCAGGACGACCCAAACTACGAGGTCCTCCTAAGGCAGGGGCCGCGAGTCTTCCCAGCTTGAAATACCGCTGATGATATAATTCCTGCATGACCTTCAGGACCCTAAGCTATGGGAATTATGTTATATTCCCTATAATGGGTAATGCAGATTTCTATCATCATTCGTATCAGCGGTTTAGTGCATTTACTGTCGCAGGTGAGCAACATATAACTTTGAATAGTTACCAAGACTTTTCCGGTGGGTTCCTGGCTTTTGCTCTGGTACGAAATATCCCCAAACCTATTCTAATACGGTCCAAATATTAAGGTGCCCAGATAAGGAGGTGCAGTACCAAGTTCGCCACAGGGTGCCTCGTTCAAATCTGACGGGCTCTTGGCAGGAGTCGATCGGGTGTACCACGAGGATGTGTTGTAAGGTCATGCGTATGTGAACGGGGCGGGGTGTAAGCAGTCTGTATAGATTTATGAGGTTAGCCAGGTATTTATCACCATGGCGCCTGAGTCCCATGCCCGTTCAAGTAGTGCCGGCAATGACAGCAGATCCCAAACCCTGCGCCCTAATTAATGCTAAACATCGGCAAGGGGACGACTTCAGGCACTTTGAGTCGTAAGCCTGGGTTCAACCTTTTGGTTGTCGTTTCGGTCGGGTTTGGAGAGTGGGACAGCCATGAGCTCTCGGTTCCTAAAAACATGGATCCTGGAACCTCCCATTCCTGATGCACAAGAGGTCAAGAGGACATTGCTGAAGAATGCACTGCATCCTTGAGTTTTGGTCCAGGGTTCAAGGCTGTATCGGGTTTCTGGATCCAGCTTCCTCAACCTGCCAGTGCTTTCCACCCAAACCGTGGTAGGTGTAGTGGTGAACTACTTGGAGGGTCGGGGGACTTAGTAAGTAGGTAGTAAGTAGACTTATAAAAGTAACCCAAAAGGGAGCCTAATTGGGGTTGTAGTACTTATAAGTTATAAGTCCCTAAAATAACCAGTTGCTAACTCCGCCGACCCTCCAAGTAAGCCCATCTCGATCTTCGCAGCGCCAGGGATGCCGTGAACCGGTTGATGCGCGTCAACCGCACCTTTGAGGCCGCGAAGATGCTTGCCAGGCCGGGCTGGTTATGCCCCTAAACCCTAAACCCTAACCCGTTCAGTGGCTTCAGTGTTCCAGGCTTTTGAGAGCCGTCGTTGGGATTCCAACCATTAAGTCACTAAGCCCTAAACCGAAATGCCAAGAAGAGCTCTGTTTACTTTTTTCAAAGACATATGCAAAAACAAAACAGGTTCGTGGAAGCATGTCATTACTAAGGTGCCTTGCTAAGGTACCCCAAGCGCTTCACCCTAAAGCAAAAAGGGCTTGGAAGCTTTGCATCGTTCTAAACTTCCCTAACCCTAAACCCTACACCCTGAAACCCGCTTGCGTAGGCCGAACTTCGTGCAGACGCAAAAGAACTCTCAAAAAAAAAACTAAAACCCTAAAGCCTCGATGTCAGAATTACAGCTCCGGCTGTTTACGTTGCAGAGGAGCCTGGGCTCCTAGCAGGTTTAGGGTTTGAGGGTTTAGGGTCCAGAGTTTAGGGTTCAGGGTTTGAGGGTTTATCAGATGGTCTGTTTCATGCCTTTCTACTCTCGTATGTGTTCGCTTAAGTACGTGTAAGTGTTCGGCGCCGCTCAATATGTCAATATGTGCAACACTTACTGGCACCAGACTCCACGCGAGTAGTCCTGACATTGTCGTCAAGTCATGGTTGTTCCAATTAAAACTTCTTGTTTTGCACGGTCGCTAGGGTCGGAGTATAGAATCTCTGTTTCTGGAGTGTGGAACCATGCCTACCTGTCCCGAGAATGTAGTGCCTTTTCTTGAGTCGCCTATGTCATGGTTAGGATGGCAAAACAAGAAACTGAGGTCGCCAAAAACAGCACTACATGTTTAGGGTGTATGTAGCTCGAAGATCCTAAACCCAGCCTTGAGCCCTAAACCAAACCCTATAGGCCTACACCCTAGACCCTAGAAGCTCGAATCTCGGACGTTTCCCAACGAAATCCGCAAGCTTGGCCCTCTGCTTCTGAGGCCGAAAGCCAAGGGCACGAAGGTCGTGGAAAACATCAAAGACACCCAGGCTGTCTCCGATTGGGTCAACATAGAGCTCTGAACGGTTGATAAAACTGTGCCTTAGCATTCTCACAATAGACCCACAACACTCGGTCCGGTGTCGAACGGGCGAGACGTGCCAGCTGATCAGCAGACAAAATGTGGCTTCTTTCGACTCAGACGCGATTCGCATGCCGGTGTTTCCGAATGTGCAGGTGCTGTACATCCGGTCGCTGTACGAGGAGGACACATGTCAGTCGTTTTGCCCCAAGTTTCGGCAACATCGCGCCCTGTGCGGTGAACCGAAAGCCAAACCTTTAAGCCCGAAACCCTTAGACTCTCAACTTGAGGCTTCATTCATTCAACAAGAACTTTCTGGCAAGCCCATAGCCGATTCGCAAATGGCCAAAACGAAGTGGGCTCTGGCTACAAGTGCAGGAGAGCACTACTTGTGGACACAGGAATACACTGAGAGCCCGACACCGCTTAACAAGGTACTGGGATCCTTAATTGATATGTTTTGAGGTGTATACCTGAAGCCTTTAAACCTTCAACTTAGTAGCCGAGTAGGCAACTGTTCTTTGTTTGAGGTAATCCTAACACCGTTCAAAAGGCTGACCTGTCCGTTTTTGGGCCAGAGCACTCAGCAATTGAGGGAAGCAAATCCTGTTCAACACACATACACACACACACACACCCTACAGGGGCAATGGGCGCCCTGGGTTGAATATCACTTAGGCTCGGACTGCCGTGTTGATTCAGAAAGACCAACTAGGCAGTCCTTCCAAGTAAGGGTGCCTAGAGTATTTGGGAAAGATCCTGCCATTTCGGCTGAACTCCCTTCTTTTCTGAGCCTCCCACATGCGGTTAAAGAAGAGGGTTGACCGTTCAGGGTTGATAAATGTACGAACAATCTTAACCTGCTGCTTCAGCTTCACCCCACCCTGCTGCTGAGTGGGGAGAGTTCTTGCTATGGAGGTGCCGACCGGTGCCATCCGAATTGGAGACCCCCAAATCCCAAACCCTGAACCTCAAGTCCTGAATCCTGAACCCTAAATCCTAAATCCCAAACCCCGAACCCTCAGCCCTAAAAATCAGAAACCCCAGACCCTAAACCCCAAATTTAAATCCCGAACCCTGAACCCTAAGCCCTAAATCCTAAACACCTAAACCCCGAACCCTAGACCCTAAATCCCAAACCCTGAGCCCTAAATCCTAAACCCCGAAACCCCAAACCTGAAATCTCAAACCCTAGGCCCTAAATCCTAAACCCCGAAAACCCAAACCCTAAATCTCAAACCCTAAGCCCTAAATCCTAAACCCCGAAACCCCAAACCCTAAATCTCAAACCCTAAGCCCTAAATCCTAAACCCCGAAAACCCCAGCTGCTCTTCAGGAGCAGGAGCCGGAGGATTCCTTCGCCCCTTTGGCGGTGGGCTCCATGTGCCTTCCTGGTGGCGAGGACGCTGGATCTTGCACTCATGAGGCTTTAGGGCTTTGGGCTTTAGGGCTTTAGAGCTTGGGGGTTTAGGGCTTTAGGGGTTTAGGGTTTAGGGTTTGGGGGTTTGGAGTTTGGGGTTTAGGGGCTTGTATATGGGTTTAGGGTTCCAGGCGTTCGCTGCTGCATGGCCTGGCTTGAGGCGACAGTTTCAGAAGCCTTGGGTTCTTGATTGTGTTCAAGCTTTGGGTTAAGCTCCAGAGGCCTGAGGTACAGGATGTGGGGCTTACATTTGCAAGAGCAAGTCAATAAAGCCCTCATATTCGCAAGACAACAACACTTGCTTGAGCTTTCACGTGCTAGTTTTGATTTGGAACGATTGGTGTGAAGGTTATGATTTGGAACGTTTGGGCCAGAGAATGGTTGAAGTCATATGCGAGCTGGTGCCAATACCTGACAAGGCATAGCGCAGCGTCTACTGCAATGACACTGTAATGCCAACCCAAGTTCTAAGTTCCCATGATCGAAATCCGCACCCATCAAACGGTAGACCCGTACCGACCCTGAAGTACCTTGCTACATGTTGGATTCGTCGTTCGTCCTTGCTAGGATGCCTGAGAAGTGATTTTCGGGGCTTCACAACTTAGGGGAAATGGGGGAGTGGCGTCGTCCTCGAATCTACAACATGCCATACATAGAGAGCAGAAAACCCTTCGTGGTGGAACATACCCAGAAACTCCAAAACCCCTATACCCCTATTAAGGAATGTACTTATCATCATAGGAGCCCTAAGACGACTTAAGGTATATTCCTTCATCAAGGGGTGTTGGAGTCTTTGGGTAAGCCACAGCAGGAAGCATTCTATTGTAGTACTTGGAGGTTCATGGGTAGTTAGAAGTAGGGTTATAAGTCCCGTAATATGAGTCACAAGTATAGCTACCCTACTTACTCGATAACCCCACCTTCCACTACCCGTAGGCCCTGAACCTTGTACCCTTATAGCATCCCAATAGATCCCTTCAAAGGGATCCTTAAAGGAACACTTGCAACTACCCATGCGCCTCCAAGTAGTTTCGGGGCACTGGGCTCCTGGGATACCTAGCTCAGGAAGACGTGCTGCGGGTGCCGAGCACGGAGCATGTGAATGGAGAGGATGGGGCTTTGAACATAGTCATATAGTCTAATATGGGCATGGGTACTAAGGGATTCGATGAAGATTTTTTTGGGGGTTGCTACATGAGCTGCTCATTCGCAGCAACATGTAAGGTGATGAGGGTATAGCGTTTGGGTTTACGGCTTGGTCTTAGCATTTACAGGGGTTTGGGTTTAGCGAGGGCTTGGATTTGGGTTTAACGTTTGGGCCGTTTGGGTGTAAGGTCTGGGCTGGTGTTGCTAATTACGCTTTAGGGTTTGCTTGCCATATTCACATCCCTGTAGTCCATATGATGTTCAGAAGCCCAAAAACTCTGATAACTTTGGTAAAAATTCGAAAAAAATCAGTCGGCCACCCTATGGTGTTTCAAGGGTAGCACTTCAACCAAGGATGAACCTTCCAGCCGTTTGGAGTCTTCTTAGAGTTGAGAGTTTAGGGGGCTGGGACCCCTCAAACCTTAGGGGCTGAGGGATCCTATTATGGAGGGAGGATCCGAGTATCCGGGGCTCTATATACCCTACTTGGAGGGTCTTTAGGGGACGTAGTAAGTAGGTGGTAGGTAGACTTATAAGTATCCTAAAAGGGACCCTAATTGGGGTTATGGCACTTATAAGTCCCTAGTCCCCCGACCCTCCAAGTAAACCCTAAGCCCTTCTTGGGATCCCGCACAGGACCGGGTCACCCCGTACGCTCTTGACATCCTCAAGCAGGAGCTGTTGGAAGGGCCGCCCGTGGCCGTCGGTGTGTGGTGGTTGTCCCTTGCCTGGCATCGGAGTAACAAAAGAGGGGCCTTAATAATTAGAGTAGGGTTTTGGGGCATAGTATACTACCAGTATAATAAGGAACCCCCCAAAAATAGTATTGGTAATTTTTTGGGCCACTATATTAACAAAAGAGGGCTCTCTCTCTCTCTCTCTCTCTCTCTGTGTTTCGAGCTCTTTCAAGTAGGGTCCGTGCCTCTGTGTACCGAGGCGATGTTTGAAATTCCATCGTCGAGTTTCTGCTTGAGTAGGAGCCTCGAGTCGCAAGCGAAAAACAGATATTTGCCAAAGGAACGAGCCGTGCATCCGAAAGCCCAAGATATATGTCCGAACCCGAAGCACATGCAACGAATGTCGATCACACACACCCGAAATTCTCAGAACCTCAAACTTCAAATCCCAAAATCCTCAAAGCCAACACCCTGAAGCCTAAACACGCAGACGAAAACAAAAAACCGCCAAACACCCGATAACTACAAACCCGAACTCCTTAAAACCCTCAACACTACTAGGACTAGCACCCAACTCCCTGAATCCCTGCAGGTGGCGCTGCTTCAATGCCCACATCGACCAGCACTCCCGCGCAGCTGTGCTCGCGCTGACGTACAGACACCGAAACGGGCAGAATCGCCTGATTCTAGTTGACATGATCGCGCCGGGGTCTCGGTCTTCAGGGTCTAAAAAAGTCCCTAAGGGTCTATGCACTCATCTAGTACATACTTTGTCTTCAATGTAGTCCCTATTTAGGCAATCTTGGGCCCAAGTACATGCTATATGGGTACATGGACCCTTAGGGAGTTTGCGTGTTGGGGGCTCCAGATTTTAGGGTGCAGGGGTTGACGGTTTCAGGCTTGAGGGTTTACAGGGTCTCTGGAAATCGGAAAGCAGCCCCAGAAATTGGCCCCCGAAGAGTGCAAGGTTCCGGAGTGCGACGAGACGCGAAATGTGCAGCCAAGTGTTTGAGAGTATCATGAGCCCTATAGCAATTGCGACACCCCAGACCCCATGCCACAAGTATCAGCATGCACAAGCTCGGAACAGATAAACCACTGAACCCACAACCCTAAACCCCCAAATCTTAAACTGCTCATCCCTAAACCACTACACCCCAAAACCCTAACCCCGAAGCCCCGACGAGGGCCCCTGTCCCAAGCCGAGGTTAGAGCAGGCCAGGCGCTGTTCGGGTCTATTGGTTGTTGGGGTGCAGTTCACTTTGGGGTTTAGAGTTTGGTGTTCCGAGTTTGGGGTTTAGGGGTGTCCGGTTTAAAAGTCTAGGGCTTCGGGGCTAATCGTGGCTTGTGCATCCTATGTTGTTTGGTGGGCGTGAGGGGGGAGTTCGTGCATTCGAGATGTGGGTAGTTGTCAAAAAAAACGTCCCTTTTTGGGCACCCTAAATCATAGGTGTCGTATTATAATAGGGACCCAAAAAGGGACCATAATTTCGACAGCCAGCCATGGAGGGTTTTGCTCTGTGGCTGGGGCACTAGGTTGCAGCATTGAACTCCAAACTCCCACTTCGTACAGCTTCACGCCGCGCGGCAGTGCGCAGCCCAGAAATCACCCTAAACCCTTAATTAACCCTAAACAAACTCTTACAGCAAAGGCACCCGTCTATTTCGGGTTTAGGGTCTTGGGCCATGGTGCACACACTATTAACCTGGCATCGGGATTTGTGCTTAGAAGCCCGAAACCCTTTAAGCTCTAAAGTTCATTGTTTTTAGGGTGTAGGGTGAACACGATCGCAAGCTAAACCCTAAACCACTAAAGCCCTAAACCCAAAACCCTAAACCCCTAAACCCCCTAACCCTAAAATCTCTATAAGCCTTCTTTCCAACTTCTTGAGGCATCTTCACGGTGCTCGTCAGTGTCTTCTTTCTGATGTAGGGGCCTCAATAATTAGATTAGGCTTTTTAATTGGAGACTCCTCATTATAGTTATAGTATGATCTACCACAGACCATATTCTAATTCTTAAGGCCGGCACTTAGTAAGTAGGTAGAGAGAAGACTTATAAGTACCCTAAGGGGGACCCTAATTGGGGTTATGGTACCTCTAAGTCCTTAAAATAACCAGTTACTAAGTCCCCCGACCCTCCAAGTAAGGTTATAAGTACCTTCCTAAACCTTCAACCCTTAACCCAGGTTTAAGCCCTAAACTCCAAAACCTAAGCCCTAAACCCTAAACCCAAGTGTGTTCCCCGGAGGCGAACCAGGAGCAGGAGCACCTGCACAAGGATGTGCTGGGAAAAATTCTGAACGCAGCGGGCCAGCAAGAACCTTCCCTAAGGCTCTATGTACCATTAAAGTAGATACTTAAGCCCTAAACGAGTCCCTACATAGGTACTGAAGGGCCTAAGTATATACTATAAGGGTACATGGAGCCTTAGGGGCTTAACATAGGGGCCTTGATAATCACCTAAATTTTTTTGGTGTTCCTTACTATATAATTAGAGTATAATCGGCACCAAAATCCCTATTCAAATTATGAATATTACCGAAACGGGGGGTTTGATGGGATGGTTCCAAGCCCGGATTGCATGCCTGATGGCTACTTTACAGAGAAGAAACCGCAGGCAGAAACCTAGAATTCAACCGGCTCCACAGCGTGACCTGGGAAATCTCTTCAGTATTGGCTAAAAGTCGTCGCCATAAGCCTCTTGCTCGCCATCTTAGTATAGTACAGATCTTATGAATTCCTGGTCTTGCTTGCCATGACGAGCTTCTGCTGCGTCAATATCTGTGGGGTGTTGGGTGGTGCCGACCGCTAGCAGGGCTGCGGGCATTGGGTCTGAGCTGCGGGGTGTGGTGTGGAGGGATTGAAGACGGTGTAGAGTCTGAGGTTAGGCTTCAGGATTTGAGCTGAAGTGATGCTCCTGAGAGTGAGGCGCCGCACATTCTCAAAGTGGTCCACTTCCTGGAGCGCACCGTGCCGGACTTGACCCTGTTGCGCAGCTTACCCACGGAAGCTCCTAGGAGTGTGAGCATGATACTGCTGCTATGCTTAGCAGTAGTACGAGATTTAGGAAACCCGAAAACCCTGAACTCCTAAACCCTACACCCCTAAACCCCTAAACCCTACACCCCTAAACCCTAAACCCTGAACCTTAAACCCTAAACCCTAAACCCTGAACCCTATACCCTAAAGGCCCAGGAGCCCTTTGGCCCGAAACCCCCAAAACCCGAGGCGCTCCGGGCCCTGCAGCTTGCCTTCGTCACGGAGGACGTGCGACAAGGCACCGCCCTGAGTTCAGAGGTTTAGGGTTGATGATCTAGGATTTTGGGTTTAGGAGTTTTGGGCCCGGGATTTAGGGGGTTTTGGAGTTTAGGGTTTCGGGCTTTTCGGGTTTAGGATTAGGGTCGTTAGGGGTTTCGGGTCTAGTGTTTAGAGGTTTGAGGCTGTGGCTCTTGTGGTAGCCTTATCGTAGCCGCAATCCTCAAGCAAAACAACCCCTGAAGCAATCCGAATAGCCTGTAAATACCTCTAACTATGGTTATAGCAACTTATAGTGAAGATTAAAGCCTGGAGTCCCCTACGACAAGATCGCAAAGCTTCGGATGCACATGCATCGCATGCTGCATCCGTACTGACGCGTAGCGAACCCTAAACCCGACACTCTAAAGCCTGAGCCGTCACGTTCCCAGAGCCTCCAAAACCCCCTTAATTAAGGAATACACCTTAAAGCATATTCGGGCTCCTATCATAATTTAAGGTATATTCCTTAATTAAGGGTTTTGGAGGCTCTGGGTTGACCCCGGAGGATCTCTACCCCGGACGACCCACCGCAATATCTCGAAACCATGCAACACTGAGGGGCCCGAAGTGTCTCGGGTTAAGATTAAGGCAAGCCCGAAAGCCAGGGACCTCATAAAGCCCCTGTGAGAACACTTCTTGAGGCCCTATGTTTGGACAAGAATGAGAACAGAACGGTTTAGGGTTTAGGGTTTGAAGCTTTGTAAGCATCCACAGCCCCATGTCAATGTCCAAAACGGAACACTTATACACACTCCCAAAGCACACTTAAACACACCGTGCACATTCAAACCCACAGCCCGCAGCCCTGTAACCCTACAACCTCGGCACAAAACGGCCCTATAGCCCTAAACCTTTACAGCCGCGCAAGAAGCCATAATACAGGGGCCTATATAGGTACCAAGATTGTCCTTATGGTTTTCCATCATAGTTATGATATAACATACCCCAAAACCCTATCCGAACAGGTCCTAATTATGCATCAAGGCCCCTACATGAGCCTTGAGAGGTCCTAACAAGCCGGAGAGCTACATCTCCATAAGCCCGTGCGTAGACGTGGCTTTGGCCACTGCCCTGGTGCAGAGGGCTCTCTTTGGAGGTCTATGGGAAGTTATATAAGTGGGGTTATAAGTCCCTTATTATGGTTTATAGGTATAGTTACCCCCATCTATAACCGAAATTATAACTACCCATGAACCTTGGAGTAGGGATTCTTACAAGGGTTCTTTTAAGGGTCGCTTCAAAGGGCTCTCTAGGGGTTCTATAAGGGTATAGGGTTCAGGGTCTATTTGGAGGTTCATGGGCAGTTAAGTCCCCCAATATAACTGTTAGGTGGTTCTGTTTTAAGGGTTGTGGGATGTAAGGGTCTAGGGCTTCTTGGCTTTACGGGTTGGGTTTGGGTTAAGCTCGAGGTTTCAGGACTTAGTGGTGGGACTCTAAGAGTTTAAGGCCAGATAGGCCTAGAGTTAAACCCCATAAAGTTGGAAACCGGATTAAGGCCAAATAGTGCTGGGATTCCCTATGCACTACTTTTAAGGATTGAGGCGATGGGGTTTCCAACTTTTGGGCTTCTGCTGTAGGGCAACAAGAGCTCCGGAGATTCAAGGGCTCAGGGTTTGGGGCCTTTGTTCCCAGAGACTCCAATACCCCTTAATTAAGGAATATTCCTTAAATTGTAGTAGGATCCTTGATTGAAGGAATATTCCTTAATTAAGGGGTATTGGAGTCTCTGGGTTCTTGAAGACCTGAAGGTTCTTGGATGTTGTTGATTTTCTGTTCGCTGTTGGGGATTGGTGGGGGGGTTAATTGTCCTTCTAAGGGGACTGGAGTTTGGCGGGTTTTGGAGCATTCTACTTGTAACTTATGATTACCTACCACCCCTATTATCAGGTACTTATTACCTTACTTGGAGGGTCGGGGGACTCAATTTTAAGGACTTATAAGTACCACAACCCCAATTAGGGCCCCTTTTAGGGTACTTATAAGTCTACTTACTACCTACTTTCTAAGTTCCCCGACCCTCCAAGTACTTAGTCCCATTATCCTCCAAGTGGGGGGCCACTGCCCATGCTCGTTGTCCAAGTTCCTCAGGCCATGAGTTCTCTCCTTTTATCCTGTGTCCCTCCGTGGTGATGCGAATCCCCGGAAAGCCCACTACCCCTTAATTAATGAATATGCCTTGAATCATGGGGACCTTTATTTATAATGATCGTGGTTCAAGTTTTGTTTGTTAGGGGTACTGGCTCCGATTTCCGATTGTGGCTGGCAGCTGACCTTCTTGAGTGCAAAACCCCAAGCACTGGACCCACCACCTCAGTCGTAGTTCCAAGTCCGGCCCCCTATGAATGAAAAGCTTACTTGGAGGATCATGGGACTTGGTTAGTAAGTAAGGTTATAGGCTATAAATATAAGTGCCTGAATTGCGGTGATCAAGACAGTCACCTTGTTTACCGCCTTGCTTACTAAGTCCCGCGGTCCTGCCAAATTTAAGCGATAGGATATGTGACGCAAGGCTGCTTCCTTCTCAGTTTTCGATGCTGGAAACTCCACTTGAAAGCCGTAGCAAGGTGCTCCTAGTTCTCAATGAGTCCAGGTACCTAGAAGGTCGGGCCTTCGGCCCCCCAAACTATTCTCTGAATAGCTGTTGGCCCGTCAGTCCCTACTATACTTGGAGAGTCATGGGTAGTTATATAAGTGGGGTTATAAGTCCTCTAATATGGGTTATAGGTATAGTTACCGCACTTAGTACCGTGCTTATAACTACCCATCAAACTTGGAGTAGAGATTCTTACAGCAGCGCTCACTCCACAGGGCCCCTCTCACTGCAGCGCACGGAACTACCGAATTGCCGAGAGTACCTAGTAAAGCGAAAAACACGCGAATCTTTATACCATCTTGCTTTCACATTTCGACGTTGTTGCTCAGCTGAAGTTCTTATGTTTCCTTCTAGTGTCTCATGTCAAACTTGTCGTGCTTGAGCCCAAGCCCGATAAAAATCGAAGCCCAAACCTCAAGTCCAAAGCAAGAGTACCCGGAAACCATAATGGAGTTTCACAAAGCCAAGACGCTACACGCTACGATCCTTGTTTGGGGGGTTCGGGTTTAGGTGTCCTCCTGTTGCAGGGACTTTACGTAGGCACCCCGCAAATGCCTGCAAAGCGAGGTGGTGGCCTGCCTCCAGGGCACTTCCGGGGTGCAGTGCAACGAGCTCTTCAGCTGGGCCCTCACGTTTCTGGTTGTGGTTTTAATTAGTATGCTTCCTTTTGCAACAAACTTGGAGGATCATGGGACTCAATAATTACCCCAATTGGGGTTATACGTATTTGTGAAAATTATGCGTGCCATATGTCGACAACCCTTGAAGACGGGTTGTGCAAGGGTGGCTTTGGACGAAGAGATTCTTAGATGTACGTGCTTATGTCTAGATAATTCCTACATGTTGCAATGTGGGCAAGGGATGATTTTGCAGCAGTCCTCTGTACTTTACTCTATTTACTCTGCAGGGACATAGGGTTTAAGGGATTAGGGAAAAAGGCTTTTGTAGGGATCATAGGGTTAGGAACAAGTTGTTTTTTGGCGTTTATGGGTTTTGACTTCCGGGCTGGGGGATAAGTATTCTTCGAGTTTTGGGCTTTCCCTGCCAGTGTTTGTGGGTGAGGGTCTTAAGGGCTTATTGGGGATCAGGGCCATTCAAGGCCCCAGGTCATGTTTGCAGCGTTCGGAGTTTGGGGTTTGTCATTGCCATTTTTGGAAGTCTTGGGTAATCCAGGTTTGGGTGTTGAGGTTTGAGGTTTGCGCAGTCGAGGTTGCGGCCGGGAACAAACATAGACTCGCTATTTTGCGGTCACGTCTTTCGGGCAAGAGGGCCCTAACCACCCCAACCACCAACCACTAGACCCCAAACCCTCAAATGTTAAGCCCCTAAACCCTAGGCCCGAAATCCCTACAACCTAAACGCAACCGCCAAGCCTAATGCGATGTTCGGGGCTAGGGCGTACCTGAAACACCAGGTTTAGGTGATCTTAGCATACCTTTCCGCCATAAGACATCCGAGGTTTCAGGAAAGAAGTATTTGGGGTGTACTAGAGGGGCCTAAATAATTACCTATACTATCTTTGGGGTTCCTTATGATAGTTATAGTATATTGGGCCCCACACCCCTTTCTAATTATTAAGGCCCATCTATTAGTCACCAGGTTCCTCGATTTCTGAAGCTCCCTCAGTACCTTGAAGAGCTTATCGTTCGGAGGTTTGATCCGTTCAGTTAGGGTTTAGGGTTTAGGGTTTAGGGTTTAGAGCTCAAACCCGTGCTTGCATTTAAGGCCTCGTCTGGAACTTCATGCGGGCGGACATGTGTTTGACGGAGGCGTTGGGCTCAGTCTCTCTATGGCTTGCAAGGCTTCTGAAGTCTTCTACCATACTTGGAGCTTCATGCGTACTTGTATGTGGGGTTATAAACCCGCACTGGACTACAAGTATAGTTACTCTACTCCAGACTCTGATGCATAGTAGCAGGGAGGCCGGGATCCTCATCCCCTAAGCCTATATGTGGTAGCTCAGGGTCTTGTAAACTGCAACCTTAACCCCAACTATCGTATCTTGTTAAGGAAATCAAAACAAGGAACCCTAAAAAGGTAGGTTTCTAAGCCGCGAATAGAAGCGATAGCACCCTGGTTCGAAGTTGACGCTTGTGTTGGAGCCCACAGTTGAAACGAATCAGGTATCTGCACATTGTGACCCTAGACCCTACGTAAACCTAAACCTGACATCCCAACCCGAAACCCTTGACCCCAACCCTAAACCCATATCCACCGACCCTATACCCGGAACCCTAAATGGCTCCGTTAGCCTGCAGCCTCAAGCCTAAGCTTCGGGAGTCCTTCCAGGGAATCAGTCAGAGACCCCTTCGCCCCTTTTGGGTAATAATGCCACCGCCAACCCATTAGATGATCATTCCTAGGGTCCCCCCTACATTTCACCGATATATCACTACTACTTCCCCCATTAGATGATCATTCCTACACTCCCCCCCTAAACTTCACCGATATATCACTACAACTACCCCATTATCAACACAAATATAGGGATAACCAATTACCCCATCTATTATTTCTAAGGTGGCATTATTGCTCAAAAGGGGCAAGGGGGTCTCTCGTAGAATTTGGTTCAAGGTTTAGGGTTAAGGGTTAAGCATTCGCTTAATCTTCTCGGATTCTCCAAGAATGTTTTAACTACAATGTAATCATATTATGTAACTGCTCATGTATTATAATTGCATCATAGCATCACTGTATAGGATAACTAGTTTGTTTGTTCTGGTTGTCATCAACAGGTATCTCAACCTTGACTATTTAGGTGTGTGGCACCACCCAGCCCCCACCCTAGGATAGAAATCTACCTTAAGATCTCACCTCCCACCCCAGCATAACATCTATCTTAAGATCTCAGCCTAAATAGGATGATCCCAACCCAAGTTACCATCTCAGGAATACTGCTCACATCTACCTAGGCGCGATACGCCGAACTAGGAATGTAGGTTCGTTTCTCAGCCCTGAGCGTGGAAAGCCGACGAAGACAACGACAAGAATCGCACCAAGAGCGACGAGGACTGAATCACAGAGGGGAAAGACAACGGCAGGTGGAGGTTTTTTTTTCAGCTTGTTGGGAAATTGGGGGGGTATGAATGGATTGGAGTACTCAAGGGATTTCTAGAGATGGGTAATAGGTGTGTCGTTCGCAGTTTCTTGAAGCAATCCGGCAGCAGAAGCTTGAGCAAACCGCTGCCCAGTCGTGGCCGTTTGCAGACTTCCATGGTCATTTGAAAAGGAAACGCTTGAACAGTTGTGATGGAGCATGATTGTGACAGGCAGCTGACTTTGTGATTTTTTGGAACCAATGCCTGACCAACATGCGAGCCATGATCCTTGTCTGTGCCTGGCTGGCCTTCAGCCTGAAGCCGCTGTCGTTCGGAGTGGCTCGTAGGGCACTGATGGCCCCTAGTGAGGAGGCCAGAAAAATCCTAGGTGAGAGTGCTGACGATCAAGCCATCATTAAGTTGGTCGACTTCGTCGTTAAGAGCCGTGAAGCACAGGCGCAGGCAGATGCTCGTGAAGCACAGGCAAAGGCGCAGGCAGATGCTCGTGAAGCAAAGGCGCAGGCAGATGCTCGTGAAGCAAAGGCGCAGGCAGATGCTCGTGAAGCAAAGGCGCAGGCTCGTGAAGCAAAGGCGCAGGCAGATGCTCGTGAAGCAAAGGCGCAGGCTCGTGAAGCAAAGGCGCAGGCAGATGCTCGTGCGGCAAAGGCGCAGGCTCGTGAAGCAAAGGCGCAGGCAGATGCTCGTGAAGCACGCGCTCATCATAGGCACTTGGAGCAGGACAAGTTGCGGCTGGAAGCGGAGCTGTTCCGTGTTTTGCACAGAGCATATTGGGTCTGGCAATGTGTTTATATAGGATTTCTTGTTTTTTTTTTTGGGGGGGGGGGCAGCATGTGGCCAATGTGCACATAAACGATCTGAGCCAAGGCTGGGCACCAAGTCGCGGTTCTCCGCAATTCTTTGCAATCGCTTCTTGATTGAAACCGGCCTCATTAACCTCTATCCCACATCAACGCTGTCGAAAGGCTACAGGACCTTCAAAACACAGTTGATGCAGAAGAAGACGAAGGGACAAGGACCCAGACTAACATTACAAGGACGGACGCTGTTCAACTGCATCGTGAATCAGACCAACATGACCACCAAGCAGACTCACGTCGCCACCGAGCTGGATGATCTTATACATCACCTGTCATCTGCTGCTGACTTAGTTGCCTCTATTAAAAGCATGTCGGGTTCCAGTGCTCCACTCCCTTCTCTTGAAGATTGAACTTGCCGAAGCCTGCACTAAGGACATCCATTATCCAGAGTTGGATCACACGGGCTTCGTGTGTGGAGGGAAGCAGCCTCCACAGGCCATCGCAATCGCAATGGCAGTGTGCTACTTGCAGGCTAGGGTGTTGGCTCAAGAGAAGTTAGGAGAAGTTGCTCAACAGCTTGTCAGCATGTTTACATTCCCTGAGGTCAAAAAGCAGCTTCACCAACGAGTTGTCTTCCTTGACCAAAACTATAGCCCAGTCGCGACATTGGTGGATGGAACCATCCAGCCACCGCCCTAAAACGGGACGGGCTTCTCAGTCGAGGCAGATGTCAGACAAGCGTCATGTTTCAATTGACGATGTGTGCCATAGCATCATATACCCTGATGTCTGGGCGAAGCAAAAGGCTTCTCAAAGAGCAGCTCAAGGGAATGGTCAGTCCCCTTACATCTAACATTACATCGAGCAAGACACAGTCTCGGAGATCGCCAACTCCATAAGCAGAGTTACAGGGACTACCAATCCCCACGTAGAGGACAGCCGCCGATCTGTTCAACGACCGTCGCGAAAACATTCTTGTCCGCGTATCCTGAATGCCAACCCTCTATAATTTAAACCCGAAACCTCCCTGGTCACAAAGCCGTTTTTTCACTTCCTCCCACCCAGTTTCCGCAAAGGAGTCGCTCCCCGTCGTCTACAACACTGAGCGCTACACACTGGACAACTTCATTCTTCATCACTTGTTTATATGGGTCATTTGACCCTTTGATAATAGTGTTGTGTTTCCTCCTATCCATATGTGTATCAATATCGTGATTGTGAACATACAAGCATAATCACATTCTTTACCGCGTGATTTCTTTAAGTGTTTTCTCGAGAAAGTTCTTCTCAAACGAAACTCAAACTTTCAACAACTCAAAGCGCAAATACCCTCTATTGTTACCTTCAACATAATAATATTTTTGACCCAATTTTTCATCAATTCTTTCTATGGTATAAACATTTTGGCTAAAATTGCCCACTCTCTCTTCTTCATCGGGCTTCCTTTTCCTGAATATTTTAACTTCATCACCAACACTTAATTCAGGATAGACCCGATTGCGTTTAGCATTCATAGTTAAATGCAGTTTAGCTTTTAATTCGTTGCTCGGTTTTCTGGCATCCTTTGGGGTGAAGCCAGTAGCGGAATGTTTCATTTTATTGTTATATGTTAATAATATTTCAAAAATATAATCTGGCCACTGAATATTGTTCTTGCCCTTTTTCTGATCGGCTTCAACACGACGATATAATAAATCTTTGAACGTCCTAATGGCCCTTTCGCTGAAATTTGTGTGTGCCCTAGTTCTGTAGTGTTCTATGTTCTGTTCCTGTAAATACTTTTGTATTGCCTCCTTGTTCATTGCGGGTTCATCATCGGTAAAAATTATCTTCGGCTTCTGTCCCATTTTATACAAGCATTCAATCATCCCACTAGCTAAATCTTCTTCCTTCTTACCTTTAATTGCCACGACATGCATAAACTTATCAAATATATCAATCAGTAACATTCCTACTCTAAATTTTTGATCTTTCAAGTCATTAATAAAAAATAAGTCCATCTGATACTCATATGCTGAATGCGGGGCGACAAAGCTATTTGAACCGACGGGCTTACGTTTTTGATCAACATTCTTCCTAAAAAACTCATTGATATCAGACATTGTGATGGTTTTGTCTTTCTCCCGTGCTTCTTCTAAAGTCCGGCTTCTACTGCCGAAACCCGCGCGATCAAAATACACATCATTAGTATTTTTTTGCTTCTCACTCATATAAAAACAAAAGAAAATAATGATTTAATACTTAAATTAAATCATCATTCGTCATCCATCGGCTTTATGATCTTGAACTTGCTCATATCATATTTGGGTGTGCCGCGCTTTGCTTGAAAATGCTTTTTGCATTCATTATTTCAGACAGCAATTCTTCTGTCAACTCATCGGGGTTCAGTTTGATATTGTTGGCTTCTTCATACTCCTTGATCTTCTTTCTCTGATTGTGTCGTAGTGCAGATTCTCGTTTCTTTTGCATATATTGTTCATCATTTCTGCGCTTGTTGTAATACAATCTGCTGTATATGGCGAGTTGCTCTTTGGTTTCATCCATTGTCATATCCTCGGGATTTTTACTCATATTATACTATACTATATATTTTTTTTATCTTTAGACATATTTCTATATATTAAAAAAACATTTAGTATTTTAAAAAATCCTTGGAAAAAATATACTTAAAAAGAAAATAAATATATAGTTTAATTGTATTAGTATATGTCCAAAGCCATTAAGCGTAATACGGAAGCACTACAAACATTTTATAACAACAGAAGAAACCGCATCAGCCAAGCCACCAGAACAAAAGTTCAAAATATAATTAGCTTATATTCAGATCGTAAGATCGCCCAATTCACCACAGCAGACAATTTAATTAGGAAACTCACCACTGCAAAAACAGACAAAGAAAAAACTAAAGCGGAAAAAGAATATAATAAACTCTACGACAAGCACAAGGATAAAGAATAACTAGGTCAGAGAATGGCACAAGCAAAAGAAGAGAACAAACGAACGGGAAGAACCAACCCGAGAAAGCCAAAAACATATTCAATCAATGTTCATTTAAATAGGCTTAAGACAGAAGCAGACAAAGGTGTATTAAAAACGTCTTTTAGAGACAGTAGGGGTAGGGAATATGTCCCAGTATACATGAACCCTTTAACTGCTAATGTGCATACAACACCGTGGGTAGAAAAATTAGCGGGGAGACGCATATTCAAATATGAGAAAGCCGATTCTAAGACGTTCTATAGGCTCAAGTTCTTGTTATTGACCGATGACAGTTTTAGAGCTGAAGTTGGATATGCGGAAGGTTACATTGACTGTATTAAAGTGAATTATGCCGAAAGGGTAGATAACGCCGATGCTTTCAAGCCACAAGACGAAGATCTAACAAACACAGTGAATGTCAGTATGTATCACAGATATATTCAGACACCACTAGATCCACAGTATGAGACCTTTAAGGAAGCCATTAAAGTAGATCATTATGTTAAGAACGAGTGTTGGTTCAACACCTTGACGGATTATTAAAAGGATACTCTTGTGGGAGATCACAAGAGAGAGAAGAACAAACTAACAAAAGAAGCCATCCTAAAAATCATAAACAAGACGGAAGACGATTTTAAAACAAAAGGGTCGTCAATAACAGACATGGCTAAGGTATTTGAACATTTTAACTTGCAAGTCAGAATTTATGACGTCTTTCACACTCTGATTTATAAGCGCGACCCGATAAAGAGAAACCATCACATCCCAGCCTTATACGCTATAGTGAAGAACAATCACATCTACACAGTGAGTGATAACATGAATATGTTACGGCAGATGCTACCCAAAAGCAATAATTATAATATGTCTGTTAAGGCATCTTCAGATTATCACCTTAACGAGAAGGAAGAGCCAGTGGAATGTAAAATGATCACACCCCTAGACGACATCCGGAAATACACAGATCATAGCGAATACACATTGGTATATAATGGCTACGATCTGTCTCATCTCTTTTATCTTAGCAAACAGGCAGGTTATGAGCCACAGGTTAGGTTTAGCGCGGGATGTGTGTCTGAACTTAACTTCAAGTTTAAGATCAAGATAAACAGCAAGAGCCACAAAGAGATTAGATACAAGGTTAAGACCCAGAACTTGGTAAATAATTCTATAGATGGTTCCATCTGCGTGAGAACGGAGCAGATCTACAATAAGATGTCTAAAGCAATGTTTAATTTTAACACCGCCCTCTTCAAGCCGACCCACAAGTCATATTACAACGAAGTAGATGTAGAGATTTTCAAGGAGTGTCGCACCATCCCCCCCAACGGGTGAAATAAATACACATTATTATGTATATAACCCTAAGACAGACAAAAACGACAGATATTGTTATACCACAGAAGTGACTACGGAGATAGATGTAAGAAAAGCTTACACATCTGCGTTTAACAAGATCGCCGAGATACCGGTATTCACTCAGTTTGATATATGGAATCATTGCCCCTTTGCACCGAACCAGAACCACAAGGTTTAGATCCACAGGGCTTTTTCGACAGAGTTGGCTTTGAAAGACGTTTACAGACTTTTAAAAACTTTCAAATGCAAGAAAAAACATTCTAAAAACTTTTAGAAGACTTTAAAAGACTTTTAGAAACTTTTAGAAGACTTTTGCAAACTTTAAAAGACTTTTCAAAACTTTAAAAGGCTTTTAAAATATTTAAAAGACTTTTAAAAACATTAAAATACATTTAAAAGCTTTAAAAATACTTTAAAAGACTTTTAAACGCTTTTCAAAGCTTTTACAAACTTTAAAAAGAATTTGAAAGACTTTTAAAGACTTTAAACAACTTTTAAAAATTTTTAAAAACTTTAAAACAAAAAAACTAATGTTTTTTCCGAGAAGACGAGGATGAAGAAGACCTGGCACAGGGTTTACAGTTTCAGGGTCTTTAGGGTTTGGGGTTAAGAAGGCAGAGTGCCATAGTATTAGGGGTTTGAGGGTAATGAAAGGGTTAGGGTTAGAGTTTCAGGGTCTTTATTATATTTAGGGTTTGGGGTTAGAAGGCAGAGTGCCATAGTATTAGGGGTTTGAGGGTAATGAAAGGGTTAGGGTTAGAGTTTCAGGGTCTTTATTATATTTAGGGTTTGGGGTTAGAAGGCAGAGTGCCATAGTATTAGGGGTTTGAGGGTAATGAAAGGGTTAGGGTTAGAGTTTCAGGGTCTTTAGTATTTAGGGTTTGGGGTTAGAAGGCAGAGTGCCATAGTATTAGGGGTTTGAGGGTAATGAAAGGGTTAGGGTTAGAGTTTCAGGGTCTTTAGTATATTTAGGGTTTGGGGTTAGAAGGCAGAGTGCCATAGTATTAGGGGTTTGAGGGTAATGAAAGGGTTAGGGTTAGAGTTTCAGGGTCTTTAGTATTTAGGGTTTGGGGTTAGCAGGCAGAGTGCCATAGTGTTAGGGTTTGAGGGTAATGAAAGGGTTAGGGTTAGAGTTTCAGGGTCTTTAGTATATTTAGGGTTTGGGGTTAGAAGGCAGAGTGCCATAGTATTAGGGGTTTGAGGGTAATGAAAGGGTTAGGGTTAGAGTTTCAGGGTCTTTAGTATATTTAGGGTTTGGGGTTAGAAGGCAGAGTGCCATAGTGTTAGGGTTTGAGGGTAATGAAAGGGTTAGGGTTAGAGTTTCAGGGTCTTTAGTATTTAGGGTTTGGGGCTAGAAGGCA